CTTTTCCACTAGTGACCCTTGTTTGGATCTTTATTATGCATCCTATAGAGTATCCGACGACCGAGACTTACGGCGTATGCTTGAGGCTGCATGGGCGGCCGATGTCGACTTGACGTTACACATCATTTTCTATATTCGGTCTATTCACCGTGGACAGAGTTTGACAGCGCCGTTCATGAGTGCCTTCAGTTGGTTGCTTCAGTATCACCCACGTACAGCTCTGGCTAACCTGCATGTGCTTGTGGATGGAACAGTACGCACGGACGCTGCGCTCAAGGCACAGCAGAGAGAAGAGTATTTCAGGATCAAGGCAGAGAAAGAAGGCAGAGAGTACAAGAGACGAGACTATGGAGAGCTGTTAGAGAGACGAGACTTCAAGAGTCATGGATGTTGGAAGGATCTCTGCACTATCCTTACAATCTATGCTCAAGGTGAGCTTCGGGGTCCTTCTGGTAAAGTTTACAAGGCACTCAAGTGGCCACGAACAGCTAAAAGTCATAAACAGTACATAGCATTCGAAAAACGTGAAAAGCGGTTTCAAAAACGTAAAGCAATGGACCCCGAAGAAGCAAAGAAGGATGCAGAAATCTATATCAAGAAGCGAGACGAACATAATGCAAAAGTCCAAGCGGAGGCAAAAAAAACTCAGGAGCAAATACGTAAAGAGCGCAATAAACGCGTTACTAAACTATTACAAGTTGATCCTGTCTACCGAGCACTTCATTTTACCATTGCAAGAATGTTCGCCAACCAACTCAAGACCGACATGGCTCAACTTCAAAGGAACAAAGACGCTATTGAGCAAGGTGTGCTGAAGGGACGACACGCTTTAGGGTTCAATCTTAGTTTAGCAGGAAAATGGGCGCCTTCTCTGTGCCGATCTCATGACAAACATACTTTCCTGGCCACTTCTATTGCCGAGCTCTTGTTTCCTCCCGAAAAACACCAAGACGATGGCGAGACTCGCGAACACTACCTTAACAAGGTTAGAGACCTATACCGCAAACAATACCTGACTCCTCTCCGTGATGCGTTGGATATAGTTGAACACTACAAAGCTGAAGGCAAATGGAAGAAGATTGATTTTACACATGTTCCAGCAGTATGCTTCAGAAACAACCTTTGTCAGTTCTTTAAGTATGCCCCAGATGCAGTGAAGGACTATATGGATGACGTGACATTCGGTAAACAAAAGCCAAAGAACGAAGAAAATGCGTCTCGTCAAAAGAAACCTGATATTCCAGCTTTCCCGAGAAGAACAAAGATCAGTGGTGTGACAATGTTGCCCAGCAGCCTGACAAACTCAGTTTTAGATACAAAAATTCCAAAAAAACTTGCAGAGACCATTCAAAACGCACCCAAATTAAAGATACAGTTTATGGAAATCAAGGAAAATTTAGCAAATGCTCAATGGAAAGCCTTAATTGAAAGTCTTCGCAGTACGTCTCAATTAAAAGGCAATGGATCACGCAAACAAGTGAAATTTGAAGAATGTGTCCCAGTATGTTATCTACCTACTGCCAGGCGAGCAGTTGAAGAAACCACTTCTACATATGCCACTATTGGACTATCTCTTCTGGTTGCGAATTTGACAAAGCCCCCATTTGATGGTGTTATAATCACTTACTCTAAGGCGCCAGCTATCTTCAAGGTTGATACATCGCTTCCTTTTGATCAACAAGTTGCACAGGTTAAAGCTAGATCAAAATCAAAGTTCAATAATCATTTTAGGGGTACCTTTTCTGACGTTTTACTGGCATTCGCTACCGAAAACAAGGTCGAACCGGAAGATATGATTAAGCGTCTATTTGTCTTTACTACCACTGAACGATCCTTTGGCGAAGTTGAAGCCGAGCGTGAGAGAAGATTCCGTAATGAAACCAAAAAGGTCGATCAATTTGAAACTGCCTTTGATCTTATCCGTCGCAGGTACCATGAGGCTGGCTATGAGGTCCCTGAAATGGTCTGGTGGAATGTATGTGAGGATGGTATGATGTACAGCCTGGATGCACCTGTAAAGAAGGACGATGTTGGTGTCAAGATGCTTGCTGGTCATTCTGCAAATATACTCAAGACATTCCTTGATGGTGATGATATAGATGAGGATACGGCTAAGCAAGAGACTCCATTGGATTTTGCCAGAAAAGCAGTGTATCATGAAAGCTTTAAGGATCTTGTTGTTGTAGATTAACCAAATAATAAACAATATACCATGTTGCATTATTCATACTATCTTAAGTAAATCCTGAGCTACGAGTGTAAGAAGCACTTGATAGGCATAGTTCAATACACACATGACACAGTCTTTTTTTTAGCGAGTTTACACTTTATTCATATTTTAAAAACTGTGATAAGCTTTGAGGTAGTGTTCCACTTTGCAACACACACATTTTGAATCTCAATGATGACATGTTTTTGGTATAAACTGGGCATATAAAGTACATGGCATTCACTACCATTAAAAGACAAATTGATATCATTCATGTAAACTCCTTACATGCGATAAATAAAGCTCTCATGCCCCAGGCTGTATCAAGGATAAATGTAATGGCCTCTTTGCTTTCTTCTGTCAAATTGACTAGACCCTCAATGTTTATTACAGCCTCATCATTCTCGTCTAGAGCTTATACTCTTGGCGTTGAAGGCAGAAGGGCTTGGCAAAGAAGAGATTCAACTGACCAACTTTGTCAAACGGGCAATAAGAATATTTATCAATAACAAATTACAATTGTTATTATTTGCTTCTGAACTTGTGCTTTTGTTGACATATGAAGTGACAACATGTAGTAAGTTGGTAAGACATGTGTTTATTAAAAACAAGCATTAATCACAACGATGTTCTTCATCGCTGAAACTCTTGATACTGTGTGAGTCAGAAAGAGGATGGTCCACGTCTGATCCATCCACAGACCTTAACCAATCTCTTTCACTGACAGCATCCCAGCTTTCTTCTGTGTCCGATAGTCCTCTTGTTGATTGAACTGTAGAGTTGGTTGTAACAGAATGATTCTCTGTTGTAGTAGAAGGAGCAGGGAATCGAAGTTCATGCGGCTCGGCGTATGAGGATAATGAGTGGTACAGAGAGCTGCTACTTGCTTCTTGATAGTTACCATTTTGCTGCTCCTGCTGGTCTTCATCATCGCTATGACTGGTAAGGTTCATATTATTTTCAAAGTGATGGGAAATCGAATCATCACTCTCATGGGAATCCATAAAAGGGTTAAATGTACTTCCGTATTCTGCTTCTGTCATCGTGCTTGACATGGAGGTATTAGTATCTTCTTTATTCACTTGTAGAGCTTCTCGACGTTTTCTTAAAATTTCTTCTTCTCTATCCAAATAAGCTTGTTCTGCCATCAACCGTCTTCTCTTTTCATCGAGACTTTTTTCTAGCTCAGTTAGCTCGTATTGGTCTTGATCAAACTACGAATGCATAATTGTTCAACCAAATTTTAATCCAAGCTAATCTTTATTTTTACTTACGTCGAATGTATGTCCTCTTCTATTTCTTAATTCATATTGGTCATTGCTCATAGGATAGGCTCTTAGGGTATTCCTATCGCTATCATCGTCATCATCTTTTTTGTTATTTTTATCCTTTTCATCATCTTCAAATTCAAATTCATTATTCGTCCTTTGGTTCCTGCCTTCATACTGAGCATAAGTGCTTCTAACAAACTCTTCGTATTCTCTCCTTTCTCTATATTGCTCATGCCAAGTTGTGAATAGTTCATATCCACCCCAAATAGCAAAGGCTGCTGCAACAGCACCTCCACCAATTAATACAACTGCAATAGCAGGATGCATTATTATCAATCAAAAAGAGAGAGAGAGAAAGAAATAGACAAAATTGCTGCGCTAAATTAATTTATGAATAAGGAGATATTCTTAGCCAAGCCTTAACAAGTATAGTGTTTCCATATTGCTTATCGGGAACTTAATTGCCTTTTAGATATTACAGTGCCTTTACTTTCTACAACATTATAATTAAAGCATACTGTTCGAGAAAGAAGTTCATCTTATTTGTTCAAAGGTGAATGATAAAAAAAAGTGGATCATAGGGGTATAATGTCAAACGATGTCCATAACAAGCAGCTCTTCAACTATATCAGCAAGCGATAACAACTTCTTGGGTCTTTAGGAATTTCGATAAATTATTTTCATGCTACTCTTCCGCATGAAGCCAAATTGTACAAGCGTTGCATCTTTGGGTCTTTGGCAAATGGGCATCAACAATGGAAATGGAACCACTTATTAAAAATAATTCCAGTGCAACCAATGGGCTTAAAGATGTGGTTACCTTGTCTTTATCAAGGCTTTCTCTACATATTATGATAAAGTCTGTAGCCAAATGGGAAGATATAGCAGCCAGACATGATGTGTTGAGCAACATTGTTCTGTAGCGTTTCAACTTTTACAATTACAACTGTAGGGTCCACCATATATCTCTTGAAGGCTTGGGAACGGTAACCATTTGCCCTCTTCATGATATTGATATTCATTCCAAGTCCCTGATAGAACAGCCATTTTAAGCTTTTGTCAACGATAGGTTAATATAGCTTTGGAGATCATTTATTATCCTATTTGACATCAAATCTGTGCCTGGACGCAATTTGGAGTTAAGGAGTTATTCATACCACTCTAAATTATATAGAAACAAAGCGAAAGAAAAGTGACATGGACATAGAAATACATAATAAATGTCCGCCTGGATCAAACCAATCCTTTTAGAGGTTAATGCTAACAAAAAAAACACTATGATCAAGGTTAACAAAAGTAAAAAAAAGAGATACAATGAGGATAAAAAAATTGGTGGGTTCATGCAAGGAACTTTTGATCATGCAGCCGGTCTAACTCATGCAATACTGAGCAGATAATCAGTTCTGATTAGAAGAGGATTAAATCAGAAGAAGCTGAAGGATATAAATCTGAAAACATTTAAAGAAAAACAGTGAGCCTTTTCATCTGACATTTTTGGTTCTTCATAATCTAATAAATCACAGGATTGTGTAATATTCAAAGATGGCTCCGCTTTTGGAAGCCAATGGTTTTGTTATTAAAACCTCAATAGAGAAAACATATAGTCTGCAGCCATCCGTAAGTTTGTCAGCTACAGCATGTATTGTATGCCTGATATATATGTATAGTAAATGAGTTGAGTAAAAATTAGATAATAAAATATGCATCAGTAAGCTCTTTTCTGACGACGTTATCGGTTTCAGTTAAGTTGACCATGTCGTGAACTTTTTCTTTCTTCTTTTTTTTTGAAACAGAATTACTAGTAGATAATGGCATAAAAGTGTACCCTTTTTTCATAAATAATCTTAGTATGTGCACGTAAGCCAGGCCTACAAGGAGTGAAAGATTAACAGAAATCATATCAATGCTTGAACCTTGTCAGGAAGGGTAAAAAATCTGTCCAATCAGAGTAAAGCATGGTTGAATAAAAAAAATAGTGCAAATTCTTTTTTTTTTTTCTTTATAATTATTCAATCATGGTCGCTTACGGAGGAGGTTATTATTGCTAAACAGAACAATGGAATGCTAAAGAAATTAGAAACTAACACACTAATCAGATGAAGTAAATGCTCTTGTTTTGGACATTGGTACAAGTTCAGTTCGTGCAGGTTATGCTGGAGAAGACACCCCTCGATGTATGTTCCCTACTCGCTTTGGATATCTTGAACAAGGACAGCAACAAGACGGAGAAGACGTATCAATGGATATGAAGCGACAGTATTACATTGGTGACAACAAGATAAACAAGCTCAAAAGCCACATGGAGATTAGACATCCTTTAAAAGACGGCATAAGTAAGATTCATATTCAAAATATCCAACAATGACGCGAATCATTTTCTATAGTCGAGGATTGGGAGGCCATGGAAAATATTTGGGAAGAAACATTCCGATCTATGCTAAGCATTCAACCTGAAGAACATCCTTTACTGTGTACTGAACCAGCATGGAATACAACTGAGAATCGAGAAAAGGCAATCGAATTGGCTTTTGAAAAATTCGCATTTCCTGCCTTTTACCTTGCTCAGGATGCCGTAATGACAGCGTAAGAAGAGTATAGAAAATAGGATTTCTTTTTTTCTAAAATTGGGAAATAGATTTTCTGTTGGAAGAGGAACAGCACTCGTACTTGATTCAGGAGCAGGCGTGACAAGTGTTGTGCCTGTATATGAAGGATATGTGTTAAAAAAAGGAATATTGCATCAACCTGTCGCTGGAGACATGTTAGCAGACCAAATCAAGCAATACCTGGAGAAAGAGTTGAACTATAAAGTAACACCACATTATACAATTGCTAAAAAGGAGGCAGTTGAAGCAGGACAACAACCGCAGATAGAATTAAAGTCATTAGACGGAGTAACTGAAAGCTTTCATGATTATCAAGTGAATGTAAGGGATGAGTTGGACAGCACATTTTATGTCTCTGATATATTCTTATTTAGAGAGTCTTGAATGAATATAAAGAAACTTTGTGTGAAGTATCCAATGTGACATTTGATGAAAGGTACGGGACATGGTTCAAGATAGAATCTCTCTTTTAATGTCTATTGTTATTAGTCAACTAGAGTCAAAACCAAAGAAATTGTTTGAATTTCCTGATGGATATCATAAAGAATTTGGCATAGAACGACTTAAAATGTCAGAGCTATTCTTTCAACCAAAGCTAGTTTTGGATCAGGTAAAATTTGAACAAATATGAGTGTATACGTTGTATTTATAGTTATATAGGAAACAAACTATTTGGGAGCACATGAAATGATTTATAATAGTGCAAGTAGCTGTGATGCTGATCTTCGCCCACTTTTATTAAACAATATTGTTATCACTGGAGGAAATACGTTACTGAATGGATTTACCGAGAGATTAAACCATGAGTTACCGATAAAGGCGCCTGGAGTAAGTTGGTTTTATGTAAAATGACTTGTCTTTTTTATTGATGTAATATGTATAGAGTAAAATCAAGATTCATGCATCAGGAAATACAGTGGAACGTAAAAGCGGCAGTTGGCTTGGTGGATCTATTTTGGCATCATTAGGTACATTTCATCAGTTATGGATATCAAGGAAAGAGTATGAAGAGCATGGAAAGTCTATTATTCACAGAAAGTTATGAAAATATTTGGATCGTTTTCGATTATTTAATGTCAGATAGTCTGTAACATTTGAATGAGGATGCGTAGGTGTTGTTGTAGGTGAAGTGTTTGCAGATTGTGATTCCTCTATTAATAAAGGTGTTGTACTAGTTGATGAGTTTATATAAGTGGGTAATTTTAGATGTGCACAATGCTTTTCCAATATATCGTATAATGTGTTCTTTGAGAATGGTTTTGGTAGAATATCATTCATTCCAATATTTATATATTCCATTATATCAGTTTGTGTAAAATTGGATGTCATGGAAACTATAGGCGTCATGGTATCAAATCGTCGTATATTCCTTGTAGTCGTGATTCCATCCATATTAGGCATCATGATGTCCTACATTTTTTTTTTTTTTTACAATAAGAATCGTGTATATCTACTTGTATATCATGTTCCTTTACCATCAGTATTAAATCGTATTTATTCAGATTTAGTTTCTCCAAGGCTTGTATACCATCCTTTGCTGAATCAACTGAGCATTTCATCATGACTAACATTCTACCACAAACATCTCTATAGACAGAATCATCATCCACCAAGAGCACACGAGGTGGGGTTGTCCAATTGCCGGTGAGAATAGGTTTATTCTTGCCCTTGTTGCTTGCAAGAAATTGTTGTTGTTGTTGTAACTTATCCAGGGCATGGGTTAAAGAATGATGATCATTCTTGATAGGATTACTATTGTTATTATTATTATTACTGTTATTGCTATGATTATTGTTGTTTGCAGAGATAAGTTGAATGCATTGTTTTAATAGTTCATCCTTTTTTAATAAATTTTGCTGAAACCGTAATAGTTCACTCGTGATCGATTCGTCCCTTTTATGCATTTTCTCAACTGACAACTCCAAATCTTGTTGTGATTGTTTCATCTGCTTTATTTGTGACTGAAGTCTTCTAATAAGCTGCCTAAGGTCTTTGATGACATCGTTATCTTCTGCTCCATCCTCTGCTACATCATCCTTTTTGGCTGTCGTCTTTCTTTTGATCTCTTCTAATAAATCTTTTCTGTCCCTTTGAAAGAAGTCATGTTTAAACTGCCATACCTAATACAAAGTTCAATAGGGTGATCCTTTAAAGTATCGTGGTAAGCTTGCCTGATCATGCTTATTATTCCTTATTTTATGAAAATCGTATTTATTTAATTGGCGTACGAAGCTTGCAAAGTTGCAGTGTTTAAAGTGCTGTGGTAATATTATTTTTGTAAAATCATTAATATCTTTTATCAAAAAGCTTGTTCCTGAATTATCCCATGAGACGATATCTTTAAATGCTATATTTTCCAGCATTCTTTTTTTTTTGGGTTAGATAAAAAGTTTATCCAATATATAACAATTTACTTACAAGTATAGCTTTTGAATAAAGTCAGGTATACTATTTCTACTTGTCTTCTTTGGACCTTCTTCCATCATTGTTTTTTTAAGAAAAGGGAGGGAAGGTTGTGAAAAAGGAGGGGTTGAAAAATAAAGTGTTTATGTGAAAAGAGAAAAAGTGAAAAAAGGTAAAACTTTTCTGATTACAGTCATTCCACTCCCAACTTTGCACACTTTCCGAAAAATTTTGGCTCAAAATGGAAGTAGACCTTAAATGGTTATTCCACGTCACTTTTACAGAAAACAACAAATCATGTTCAATTTACAGAGTTTAACTTAAATGAATTGCATTGGCTCTAATTAAATTTGAAAGCAGGTTAGTAACGTCTAGAGATCAAGTTTATTATTCAAAAGTATATCGGTGATTGTATATGCCATTTAGTCTCCCTTTAACTTTTACCCTCTTTTTTAAATGAGCGCTAGTTTCTACCTTAATATTTAAAAGAGACTGTCTGGTGAAAGCTGATTATTCCGCTTCATTCATCTGCATTTTTTTTCTTATCTGCTTCTTTACCGCATAATAATTCATTCAGCTGTAATTAAATCGTGTATTGTTTATGTCTTTGTTTTGAGAATATATATTTTCTTACTATAATGACAAATTGTTGTTCACACGTACAGTCAATTTCGCATAGTTCAACAAGATGCATTAAGGATGAAACCTTTCATTAGTTATACTCAGCTAAAGTAACAATTAAACTAAATAGTCATTTGTGTCAATCTCTACCTGACAAATGAACATATCTTGTGAGGCTATTACCGTGCCATGTGTCAAACTGGAGAATAGCAACGTGCTCGGGCATAAAATAGAAAAGGGTAATATAAGTCAAAATAGAGGGGGGGGGGGAGTACACACACAGATACGCATCAAGCGTGCAGAATGAAAGATTACACTAACGCGATAACAATGTGTGGGTCAAGTGGAAAGGCGGGGCGGTTGTTGATTTGTTCATTCCCAAAAGCTATTTTGTATTTTTTTTAAAAAAAGTCATAGGACTAGATTCATCACTGCATATATGCAATACCTCCTTTTTGTTGTCAACTGAGGCATAAATGTGCTTGTAGACGAGATCTAAAGCAACTCTTTCATGAACTGAGTTTGATAAAGATAAGCCGGACTTTTAATTACAGCCAACGGTTCCTCTTTTCCTCTTCCTCTTTTCCATAAACAAATATGGGTGTAGGATCTTCTAAACACAAGATTACTTCACAAGATAAAGCGATATTAGACCTCAAGGTTCAACGAGACAAGTTAAAAAAATACCAAAAGAATGTAATAAAGCTACCTTTATTACTAGAAATGAAAAAAAAGATACATAAACAATAGCTTAATGTAGTCATTGAAAAAGAAATAGCAGCAGCCAAATTGGCTCTAAGTCAAGGCAACAAAAAGAAGGCACTTTTAGCACTAAAAAAGAAGAAATATCAAGAACAACTATTAGAAAAGACAGATCAGCAACTTTTAAATCTAGAAGAACTTGTAATCATCTCAAGAAAACAAAAAACCAGATAGACTAACAATATATTAGACGCATTCTATAGAATATGCTCTTGTCGAGAAACAAGTCTTGGAAGGGTTAAAGAATGGTAACTCAGTATTAAAAGAGATCCACAAGGAGACATCGATTGAGGCTGTTGAAAAATTGATGGATGATACAGCTGAAGCCATTGCCTATCAGAACGTAAGTGTTATCTTGTGTACCAAAAAAAAAATTTATAAGCTCACGTTATCCTCAAAGGAAATTGATGAGATGCTTCATGGTTTGATAAGTGCGGAGGATGAAGAAGAGATATTGAAGGAATTGGATGAGCTGACAGAAAAAGAGGTATAGTCTGATTTTACAAATATGGGAATGTAGCTTTCCCAGGATAAGGTTTATCTCATGAAATTTTCATAGGTTCTATCGGAGCTCCCGTCAGTACCCAATGATTCTTTGGAGATACCGATGGAGAATAAGTTACCTGATGTTCCTACCCATTTACCAACTAAACAACAAGAAGGTAAGGTGATAGCCCTTGTTTAGATTACATAAGCCTCTAACTAAATATACACACAGGTGATGAGCCAAGAAAGGAAAAACGAGCTATATTGGCTAATTGAGCTATCTCTTTTTTGATATTAAACTGGAACAAAATTTATCCTCGTTGAATTTAAAAAACCTTTATAAAGCTGGATTACCTGTCTTTTCTTTCTTTTTGTATATTCATTTTTAATGTCAAAAACTGATCACGACGAAAAGTTTGAGCATGACGCTCATGTCACAACTGAAATAGAATTCGAAGATATACAACAGGTGGAAGATGTCTCTGCTTTGAGAAGAGTAGCTGAAGGCATCCCAACAGCCGCCTGGTTTATCCTTGTCAATGAATTTTGGTATGTATATTTAATAGACCCTGTTTCCATATACTGATTTGCTTTATAGTGAAAGGTAACATTGTATCCCACATATACTATAAAAGGGATTTTCAGTTTCTCACGCATCAATTTTTCAGATTTGCTTATTACGGTGGTTCAACTCCTTTCCAGAATTACGTCCAGGTACAATTTAACATTCTATAAAATTTATCACAACTAATAACCATGCCAACTATCATAGCATGCTCCAACAGATACAACACCTGGTGCCTTGGGTCGTGGCCAATCCACTGCTACGGCTTTGCAAAACTTTTTTACCTTCTTTTGTTACTTTACTCCCATGTTGGGTGCTATTGTAGCAGATCAATACATTGGCCGTTATTGGACCATTATTGTCTTCTCTACTGTTTATATGATCGGCTGGCTGATTCTTACTTGTACCTCTATCCCTTCTGCGCTCGAACATGGTGCTGGTTTCCCAGGTTACGTTGTCGCACTAGTTGTAATTGGCTGTAAAGATAGGGAAAAAAAATTTTAAATGATTACTATATTAATCTATATTTTCTCTGTTTGTAAAAAATAGTTGGAACAGGAGGTATCAAAGGTATCGTCTCTCCTCTTTGTGCAGACCAATATAGAAAAACAGAAAACTATGTAAAGGTGTTGCCTTCAGGTGAACGCGTTTTGGTAGACTATGACCTTAGTATTCAACATTTATATAACTGGTTAGTAATACTCCCTTTTGTCCCATGATAATCTAATATCTGATTTCCTTTTTAGGTTTTACTGGGCTATTAATGTTGGTTCACTTTTGGGCGGCGTTATCTGTCCCTTATTAGAAAGAAACGTCGATTTCTGGGCAGCATTTCTGCTTCCGACATGTATGTTTGCTATGGCCATTATTGTCTTTGTCTCAGGAACGAAGCTTTACTATAAGCCTGCTGCCACTGAATCCGTCATCATGAAGGCATTCTCAGTCATTGGCTTTGCTCGTCACCAAGCAAGCTTGCCCGAAAATAAGGAAGCACGTAAGGCATCCAAGAACGTGCTGGACTTTGCAAAGAGAGAACCCGGTATCCCCGCGGTGAGTGAATGGTCTACTGACTCCTACGCAAAGGCAAAATGGGATGACCGTTTTGTGGATGAGCTCAAGGAAGCCGTCATGGCATGCAAGATCTTTGTACTCTTGTCTATTTACTGGGTATGTTATAATCAGCTTTCAAACAACTTGATCTCTCAAGCTGGTACAATGAAACTTCCTGAAGGATTGCCTAACGACATCATGAACAACTTTGATCCTATTGCTCTTATCATCTTTATTCCCATTGTTGACCGTTTCATCTATCCTGCCTTGCGTAAATACAAGATCAACTTCCTTCCACAATTACGTATTACCTTTGGTTTTATTCTTGGTGCACTTGCCATGGTTTATGCCGCCGTTGTTCAACATTATATTTACCAAGACGAACTCTTCATTTCTTCAGGTGGTGTCACTTCTAACGTCTCTGTATTTATCCAAGTCCCTAGTTACGTATTGATCGCTTTCTCTGAAATCTTTGCTTCCATCACCTCTATCGAGTACGCTTATACTCACGCACCAAAGTCAATGAAATCCTTGGTTTCTGCTCTTTCATTGTGGCCCAACTGTGTTGCTGCCTTGATTTCTCTCGCTATTTCCCCTGCTGCCCACGATCCCAACATGGTCTGGGTGTATACCGGTGTTGCTTGTGGTGCTGTCGTCTTTGGTGCTTTATACTATTATCTTTTCAGAAGCTATGATCGCATTGACGAAGAATCTCGTTTGAAGAGAATGGCAGATCAAAGTACATTTGAAAAGCCCGAATTAGAGTTTTCAGCTTAGAAAGTATAAAAACATATGATACTTGTTTAAATAGAAAACTTGTATGTTTAATATCCAAAGATGTATAACTAGTATAATTAAAAGATAATAAAGAACAAAATGATTCTTACAGAAAGAGAGAGTACATCTCTTATTTACAGAGATTGGCTTTTTTTTTTTATTTATATGCATCTTTTACAGTTGTTTATTCTTCCTGTTGCTGCTGTTGTTGTTCATAGTTTTCTTGATGATTTTTAATGATTGTCATGTACATTTCTTTTGGATACTCGCTTCCTCTTATTTGAAACGTGTAGCACGCTAAAGGAGCAATGAGTTTAATTACTTCAGAGCTCTATTGATTCTTACCTTGCTCTACTTTCTTAATGCTTGCTCTCAAGGCTCCCATCTTTTTATGTAAAATAGGTAAATATGCGCTTGCAATCAATTCGAAGTCTATCAAGTATTAGAAACAGTAAATAAATATATATATATATATATATATATTACCTTGATCAATCTCTCTCAAGGTTTTGCAAATAGTCATGGCTTGTTCATATTTTCCAGAAGATACAATTTGGATTGCGTATCTCATAAGTTCACCTGTCAAATCACCTAAGCCAAGAATCTACATGATGGCTCTGGTATGAGCGTATATTCCCCCTTTTTTTTTTTTGAAGCAGTTTATACACTTACATAGTCTTCACCTCTGACGCTTAACCACTAATACAAAAGTCATTGAGCATAAAAAACCATTCATTCATAAAAACGCTACCTTTCCGTTCTCTTCATCTTCAAAATAAGTATCTATTTCTTGTTTTGTAATGACTTTTTCGTGTAGTAAATAATGATGGAATGCCACTGCTTCAACCTATACATACTCTTTTTATGAGTTGCTTTTTTTTTTTTTTTTTAAGAAAGATATTCAGTGCTCGTTTACAAACTCTTCAAAGGCGCCCGAGAAACTTCTTGCGTATCTAAGGGTACATTAGTATATCTCTTTTCTTTCTTTCAACTAGCAATTACTATTGTACCTAAAGTAGTTCAATCCCTGTATATCAACAGATAGCTTCTTAAACAAGGCCATGATTTCCTTCAACTTGGTTTCTGCTTCCTTGAACTTTGCTTTTGTACGGTCACCGCCCGCTTGATTGATGGCTCTGTTTGTCTAATCAGCTTTTTCGTTTATATGCATGTGTAGAGATCTACCTGTGAAGTGCAAATATCATCTTTTTGCTTGAAGCAGTAATATCTCTAGACACTTTTATAATACGTTCTCTTCTATCGTGCTATTCGACATTAGCATTTACTTTATAATTATGCGCGTCATTTTACGTGTTCATCCAGAATGTCTCTGCATTCCTTGAAAAAGTCTTGACTCATGATTCCAATTTATGCAAAATAAAGAGAAAAAAATAACGAAACAATTTTTTTAGTAGAGAAAACAATGTAAAGTAACTTTGTTGTTATGACTACTCGAATGCCACTCAAAATGCTGGTCAACTATATGTACAACATGTTAAATTTTTGAGAGAGTTTTTATATCTATGATAAGGCGCGTGCTTGGTAAATGTATATGTGTATGCTCTTTTGAACGCACTGCAATATATTTTGAACATTAAAATGCTCAGCTAAAAAAAAATAAAACATCTTTTTTCTTTTTCCTTTTTTTTCTTGTTATTAAAATATGGTAAACTAGAGTATATATTGTCTATAAAAAACTATTAAAAAAGTTGATTCTGTAGAGCGAAAAAGTAGCACTTATCTTGGTGGATATTCAAAATGATTTTTTAGAAGGCGGCTCACTTCAAGTACCAGAATCCTTGACTATTTTAAAACCAGTCAATGAGCTTATTGAGTATACCAAGTCAAAACATGGGCTCATCATTGCTACTCAAGTAAGAAATATTATACAAAAAAGAAAGAGAGGCTAAATTGAGCTTTTGTTCTTAGGATTGGCACCCAAAAGATCATATCAGCTTTGCTTCTAATCATCCAAAAAAGAATGTATTTGATACAGTACAAATTGAGGTTGAAGGTGCAACACTCGATCAAGTCTTGTGGCCAGATCACTGTGTGGTAAGAGCTTATATCAGGTATATGGATATAAATAAATTCATTTTTATGTATAGCAAAATAGCTCTGGTGCTGAGTTGAGTAAAACGCTGAATGCTCATCACATTGATTATATTGTAAAAAAAGGCATGAATCGACAGGTCGATTCATACAGTGCGTTTGCCGATAACAATTACTGTGAAGTAACGGAATTAGCAAAAATACTATATCAACATTTTATTGAGCAAGTGATTATCGTTGGACTTGCTGCTGATTACTGTGTTAAATTTACATGCTTGGATGCTATCAAATTTGGCTTTAAAACAATACTAGTCAAGGATGGCACAAAGGCTGTAGATTCAAATAACATCGAATCCACCTTTCAATATTTACAATCAAAGGGCGTTGTTCTAGTACAAAGCGTATCTGACTTATAAATAATTAAATTTTTTCTTTTTTTCTTTTCTTTTTTTTTTTTTTTTTTATCGTTGATATGATTCAATTGACACTTGACCGACTCCATCTGTGCTGCCCATTCCAATTTCTCAATCTGATGTATGTATTAAAACATGGTACTCTACATAACTCATATATTATTACCTCTAATTGCTCTAGTCTTAATTTAGCTTCCTTTAGTGTTTGTTCCAAGGCCTTCTTTTCAACAGAGACATTTTCCATATTCGAATGCACGGGCTCATCTGCTTTTGTATGTAGTTCTGCCAGTTGAATCGCTAGTTTTTCCAACTGCTCTTCTTTTTGACTATAGAACAATAACAGATCAATAAGCTGCAAGTCTATGGATTATTGATACTCACACTTGTTCTTCCTGTAAACGCTTGTTTTCAGATTGTAAACTAGCAACCAATTCCTCCATGCTCCACCACTGTGAGAGCAAGCCTTTGATATATCGCTTCTGTTCTTCCATATGACTTGTATCTTCTTCCCACAGTAACATTTGCTGTGTGAGTTGCTTCACACGATGCTCGCTTTCTGTTACCTTGTTTATCACAGGTTCCAGTGTTTTCAATTCATTCTCTAATTCAAATATCCTAAAAAAAAATGAATAGGCTGATTTGTCACTTTTGCATCTATCCTTACTGCTGCTTTGCAGAATCAAGCTGAACTTTTTGTTCCTTCAGCTGCTTCTTGTATTCTTCAAGTTGATATTCGACACGAGTCATTTGGTTTTGCCACTCTTTTCTTGCTTCTCTATATCCTCTCAACTTTCCAGATTGCTCATCTTCCCATTTAACATGCTTTTGCTTTGTCAAGGCTGACTCTGCTCTCAGCTTTTCCAATGCTGAGGTTGTTTGATTGAGCTGTGCTTTTAACATACGTGTAGTATTATACTAGAGAAAACTAATTAGGCAACCCTGCTTAAAGCACATATACCATACGCGCGTATAGTATCAAACAAGTCTTACCAGCTGTTGTCTTTCAGCTTCGACGGAGCTGTCAAGGACATGCTCACGGTGTAGACGTCCAATGTGCTGTAAATGCTGCTGCTTGAGGAAGAGCTCAAAGTTAAGTTCATTCTTTAGCAATAGCACTTCTCTTTTCAAACCAGCCAGAAGCAGCTTTGTCTCTGAAGACATCGTCTCATCCTCAGCTGATGCCTGATCCCTATCCAGCGACTCTATAGACTCTTGTTGCTTAATGCCAAACGAGTCCCATACATCATCTCCTACTAAAACCTCAGCTCCGCTCTTGAGTGCTTTATGCAACTTCATAATACTCGATACCATAGCAGGTGCTTGTTTGCTGTCTTCTTGAGTACTTTCAGGGTCTGTTTGCTCCTTTTCTTCATCTTGTTTCATCGATATCTCTTTGGTCGATTCATCCTCTTTCACAGATCCTCTTTGAGTGTCCTCCCACAGACTTTCGTCTAGTAGATCTTGTTGTCGATGACTATGGTTATTTTCATGACCGAACGCGACACGAGAAGCAGCGTTTGTTAGATCCAGACCCATAATTTGAGCCATCACATCTGGTGGTTCCATCTTCATCCACCGTGTCTTGTCTGTAAGTTCTGATTCTGTATCCATCAAGACGAGGTTTGGATGTAGCATATGCCTTGTAACTTGTGTCTAATGAGAAGCAAGATTAGTAGAGATCCCTTTTTCATCTTGATATTGCTTACGATCGTTCTTGCTTTAAATGTTTCTTCATCAAATTCTTCAGGAAATATAAACTGTTTCTCTTTAAAATACGCATAAGGCTTGTACAGGAATTTTAAGAAGTTGCAAGGATAGAGACCATATAATGAGGTAAAAAAGGCGCCGGTCTGAGGATTGGAAGGAGGCGCGGATAATTTAGAAAAGGTATAATCTTTTGACATGTAAGTAACTCTACTCTGATACCATCGCACATCTAAATCTTACCAACACAGTCCCAACCATCAGCAATGTAGGTAGGCGAATGGTATGTAGAATCAATGCTCTGCTTCTTTCTTAGATCTCGTAGCTGATCCCAGCAGATGGCTCTTGCAAAAATATAAAAAAGCTGTGGTAAGAAGGGTGGAAGTGAAGTACAGATTCGAGGTAATAGCATGATCAAATTGGTCACAGAAGTGGCAATCAGGGTAGTAGAGTTGTCATACTAGTAATAAAGTGAGAAAGAGTGTATGTATGAACAGCATTATGATGAATACCATAAGTGATTTCAACATAGAATCAAATAATGGGGTATCAAGAATTTCATGTAGATGTGTTCTCTGCAACATTTACAAGTTACTAAAGAAAGTATACTTTTATATATATAATCTTACTCTTCTTCGCATAAATTCACTCATTAAGTAGACAATCTGTAGACGATGCTTACTCGATAGAAAGTAACCGTTCAAGAGCAAGAAAAATTGCTAAAAAATTGCAATCATTAACATATCACTGGCATAAAAACATACACACACATGGCACATGCGTGATTCAGTTCCTTTCCTTTGTTTACCTTTGTCTCTGATGCGCCAACAGTCAATAGGATGGTAGTCAGGTTCTTTGACCACTCACTTTGTTCGAGATCTAATAGTGTTTGATGCAATCGAGTTGTCTCGTCTTTCTGTGTCTCTTGTTGCTGTTGTTGTTGATTGGTGTCGAGATATATATTGATGAGCATATGAAAATACGTACATTCATCTTCAGTTTCAAGTTCTGCAATTAGACTATCAGCTATAAATAGACGCGCTTCCTTCTTAATTTTATTGGTATATGAAGCATGAGTGAGAACAGGCTGAAGTAATGGCCACCATTCCTCAAATATTCTTTGCGGTCGTAAGAGAGGTAAAAGGGCATGTATGCACCGAAGTAAGATGTAATGCTGTGCCTGGCTTCGGAGTGCTTCAGGTTTACTGGATATAGGGGGTGCATGATTGATGTCGACGGTAGAGCAATAGAGTGAGATCAGGTCTTGTGATAGTTTATCGATAGTGGCTGTATCAATAGTCGGTAGACTTCCTCCATTGGCTACTGTTTGTTCATCCAGATATTGCTCAATAACGTCACAAGCTGACTGCCCTTCAGGATCTATGGCAGAATTACGAACAGCCTGTGCTATTGATTTCGTAATTTCTTTAAATGTGACCATATCTGAGTAAAGTGAAAAAAGACACAGTGGGTCAACTTAAATGTGGTTGGTGAATCACGTGTTTCTAAAGAACAATCATTTTGGTGTTACCATAGACAAATATGCAGTCATTGCTCGTACAGTGATTTGATCATTCAACTTTTTTGGTAACCATTCAATTTGTTTTAAAGTGATTATAATTTTCACAAAAACAATTCTAAGGTCTGCAATCTACCTTATTAGCTTGTGAACTTTAATGATAATACTGTGATCCTCCTGTATCTTGAAAAACGCATGAATCTTACGGTGAAGTGGTGCATGCTTCTCTGGCAGACTAACTTATTAGACTCACCTAACCAATTGGATACTGGCCATATCCAATAGATCACAAACATGGCTACTTCCGTCATTTCGTCTTTTTACGGTTAAACAACGTTGTTCATTTACAGTCATTTCAGAAAGTAAAGTCGCGGATTTTGAGTTTGATGTCGTGTAAAAAAATTATGTGTTCATGAGAATGGAGTTGAGCTCATGAACCTTGTTATTGGTGAGGAGCTATTCGCTATCGAGACAATAAATTCTCGTACTCAAATCCTGAGGAACAGATCTTCTGAGAGGCCTTCTAATCTTGCTATATTTTCAGTTATAAGTACGAGAAGATATTGACATAGAGTTGTGCAGCATACGGTGGTATACAGTTTATTCTGATAAAGACAAGACTCGATTTTTTGATTTGCCTTTATTACAGATATGATTTCGTATATTGCAACCACAGAAAATGTATGTCTTGTCATTCTAGACTTTGCAGGAATTGCCACGGATGTTAGTGATCTTCGAAGCTTTGTCCAGTAAAATATAAAATATATACATATTAGCTATAGATTTTAGGAATATGCTAAAGAAAATCATGACTTTCAATAGAGATAATGGCAACTTGAAAATGATCATAGTTGACCATCTTCCTTTCTAAAATGAAGTCAAGGTATTCCAAAGAGATCGACTTTTAACTGATGCGAAAGCCTTGGAAAATTTTAAGTGCAAAGATCAAGATGATCAGTTTTTTCGCTGTTTTTATTTGTTTTATTAAACTTTCCCGGTTATGAATACGATTCAATAAATACGAAATTGACTTCCAAAAAATATAATCAAACTGCTGCCGAAGTAGAAGGAGAAGATGAGGTGGTAAAGGCTCTTTCGTGCCACGCTTTATTTTCAGATAATATGTAATAAAAATTTTTTCGGTTCCTATTTCTTTAGATCTTTGAGCGCTGTTAACTCATTTTTTCTATTTATCTTGGGAGGGGAACAACAGCGAAGAAAGCTAGTTGAAAATTGAAGAGCGGGTGACCATCTCATCTTCTCCTTCCACTTCGGCAACTGTTTGATTGGAAGTCATACTTATCCCAATCATTGTTGCCTCCGTTCCAGGTTCCGATGAGGGGGTAGCGTTTTCCGTAGTAGAAAAAATGGTGTTGCTTATTGCTTGACTTTCTTAAAATTTACTGGAAGGTTGATAGTAGTATTTCTCGAAGGCGCCCAAGTTGCTTGACCAATTCGCATGTTTCTTTACTCGTTCAATCTTATGACTATGCATTACTGCCCACGTACTTGCTGCTACTCTCAGTGAATGTGCTTTGTATACTTTAATGTCAATACCAGCTTCTTGCACTGTTTGTTGTATCCATGATGCGACGGTTGCTGGTTTGATGGAGTAGACTTGCTCACCCTTTTCAATCTCTGCCAGGAATAATGTGTGGTCGTCTGGCAAACCATGACGTAGACTTGCTGTACGATCCATAAATTCTGCTAAGGTTCTTACAGGACAATCATCTTCTTTTGCTTGCTCTGCTGTACCAATCTTGATTGTCTTCCATTGGCTTTCTTTTGGTTCTCTTGATGTTAAGGATACCCCAAGTAGCTGTCCTTCTTCTAACCATAAAAAAGCTATGTCTCTATACTGTAATCTGCCGAGGTCCGAGTGAGGTCGCATCAATGTAATGGCCGATATCGACTTCATTAAAAGCCAAATAATTAAGCCATAAGAATAAGGTAACCCACATAGTCATCGTTTTGAGGACGCTTTGGACATTTTGATTGGACGACGTTTTTGAGGACGTCCTCAAAAAAACGTCCTCAAAAACGCAAGGGCAATTCTGATCCATTCGAATTCGATTTGCAGCATCTAAAGAACCAAGTTTATTTGTGCGAGCCAAAAAAAAATCACTGAAGGGAACGGATGGTGATCGATGGTTGTTTTCGACTTCTGCTGTCACTGACAACGTGATCATGATCATCACACGACATAATTTTACGCTTTCGGGTATGCAGTGTGGTGGGGAGATTATCGTCGATATAAGCAGTACACAGATTATCGTACACCGAAACAATATTCAAGATAATATCAACTTGCCCCGCATATAATGAAAGATCGGAGAGTGTAGCAGGGATCAACAGCTGTCCAATTTCGTACATAAGAATGACAATGTAGAAAAAAACACGGCGTCCAATCACTTGCATGGCAAGTACACCCTTCATATTGTTCACATCAATGGAATTTTTGGCAAAAATCCCAGACGAACAAGATCCTTTGTTGTATCCAGCTTTAGTTGTAGTTTAAAAAGGCAGTTAAGTCGATGACTTGCGAATTAGATTCTTTATTAAGAAGAACTGAATATTATTAAATTAAGTTTGTGTGAGAGGTTACTTAGACAGAGAATCTATGGCTGCTATTTACTTGGTTAGACATGAAAATACAAAATATGGTTTGCTATTATCTTTTTATTAAAGGTCAGCGAAGTACAATAAAAGTATACAGTTGATCTTCTTTAAGCGAAGGTAAGAGATGGGAAAGGGGAGGGAAAGGAAATCGTATTTCTTATTTTGTATTTTCATGTCTAACCAAGTAATTCAAGTGTCGAGACGAATTCTACTTGAATTAGTGGAAACACTCAAATACAAAATACAAAATATGATTTGCTGATCCAGTGAAATGGTCTAAATAATAATATTTGGTTCAATTGCATGTCATATTGTCTTCAACATCAAAGAACTGGTCGTCATCTTCGTCAGTAGCATTGTCAATATCAATCAGCGTGTTGGAGAAATCGAACTGGGAGAGATGTTCACGGCGATAATGATTTTCAAAGACAGCAGAGGAAAACCAGTTGCTCATGGTGATATTATCATCTTTAGGAATACCTGCTTTAAGAGCGAGAGACGAAGCGATGGACTGAAGAGAATCCTGAGATTCTGTTGTGGATATCTTAACGAGCTTGCCGATTCAACGTTGAATAGTACGAACACTGAGTGGCTTGAGCGGAGCGTAAGAGTGCAGAAGCAGTGTATCAAGAGAGTCAGAAGGGCGACGATTGCTGAAGATTTGATATGTGGTGGCCGGGCAAAGTGGCCGAAGATGATGTTCTTTTACTTTAACCGACTTAGCAATTCTTCGGTGTTTACGTTTCTCTTTAGAACAGTGGACCTCAAAATATCACGAACCAATGTTAGTCACCTTTGTTGGGCTGAACGGAATACGGTGGAGGTCAGAAGGACGCAAGAAGCAAGTGACACATAGAAGAAATGCCAATTTCATTTGAAGATGAGATAGCGAGATCAAAGGACCATCGAGAGAAGAGATATATAGCTTTGAATGAGCTACGATTAACTTTATTCTTGATAATTGCCCAAAATCGCTCTATTGGGTTAAGCTCAGGAGAGTAAGGAGGGAGATACAGTCTTTTCAGAAAGTAAGGTCGCGTTTTTGCAGTTTTTATAATACAATTTATACGAAAAAGCGACAAGTCAGCGCGACATCTCTTTCTGGAAATAGTGTAGATACTTTTGTGCCCCCTTTCAACTATCATCTTATCAATTTGATCAGATGTATGGATAGGTGCATTATCCATTACGATGTAGTAGCCCTTTAACTCAGGAAAATAATCCATTTCATCCATGGTTTTTTCAAGAAACCTCAAATAATCACCAGTGACAGTAGCTGCAACAGCAGGCTTTCCTTTCAATGACCATCCGCTGAGAGACCTCATGTTAATATTGAATCCAGACTCATCGACAAAAATGCAATTTTCCAGGTAATTCATATCCGTTGCAGTCCACTTTTTCACCCAATTCATATGCTCCTGAATCTTAGCTGGACTATTTCTGGCAGCTGGCTGAGTCGTCAGTTTTCTGAACGAAAGGTTGCACTCAGTCTTGTCTCAATTTTATTTTCATTTCGTTTAAAAAGGGCAGGTAGAGCGTCTAAAAAATTGTTTTGATTTGTCTAAAAAAAGTCTAATTTTAGAGAAAAATCCTTTACTGTTCAAACAATAAAATTGAAATCCAGAAAAGATATATTCTCCTCTTTTTTTATCTTGTTTATGAAACTTCAGCTTGCCATTTCAATTGCTTTGGCTTCAGTGCTAGTTCAGGCACAGTCTCCCTTCTACTATTCTTTTTCAAATACGACATCTGAATATGAAGAAACTGGGAAAATGGAGCAAATAGGAAAAACAGGTGTAGCTGCCATGCATGCTGTTCTTTTAAAGTAAGAAAGAGATCACATCATCCTATACAAGATTAACTCTTTTATTTCTTTTTATAGTGAAAAAAGCATTCTTATTATTGACAAAGGTTGACGTTATTCATTTTTTCTTTATTTCCTTACAGAAACTAATATATACACATACAACATATAGCTGAAGAAAATGAAGCAAAACTCGATTCGGGCGTCAGCGCTTTTTCAACCCTTTATGATATCGAGAAAAACAACTACCAGACACTTGTGCTAGAGACCAACACATTCTGCTCTGCAGGTGGATTCTTGGCAAATGGTACATTTATCAGCACAGGAGGAGCCGAGAGTCGGTCCAAATGGAATGCACAAAGAGGACACCAATCGATCCGTCATTTTATGGATGGAGAATGGCACGAATATGGTCAAATGTTTGTCAATCGCTGGTATCCAACAGTTGAACAACTTCCAGAAGGTGACTTGATCATCATTGGTGGATCAATACAAGGCACAAAATGGAATACAAAGGAAAAGAGTAGTCCATCTTATGAGTTTTGGCCACCAAGGACAACTGAACCGATCACACTAGATTTACTGTTACATACATTACCTTATAACCTGTAAGAATATTCATCATAATGACCCTATGGCTAATATCTTCTTAGATACCCCTTTGTATTTCTATTGCCAAATGGACACTTGTTCATTTTTGCATCAACAAAATCCATTATTTACGACTACAATAACCATAGAGTGATCAAAGAATTTCCAGAAATGCCTGGTGTTCCTCGGTCATATCCGCTGACAGGAGGTGCCGTCATGCTTCCTTTGGACCCTGAAAAGGATTATCAAGTAGAGATTGTTATCTGTGGAGGTGGTCCTCATCCTCCTAGACGAGACAAGTTGGCTGATAATACCTGTGGTCGTATCAATCTTGATGATGAGCATCCTAAATGGGAAATGGATACTTTTGTTCACAGACGTATCATGCCAGATGGTGTCATTATGGCGGATGGTAACGTGTTATGGGTCAATGGCTGTCAGCGTGGTTATGCAGGTTATAATAATGCTAACCATGACCCTACATTTGATCCATTAATTTATCTGGCTGATAAACCAAAAGGTCATCGATGGCAACAAGGGTTAGCCAACACAGATATTGCCAGAATGTATCACTCAGTCGCACTTCCATTACCAGACGGAAGAGTATGGATCGCTGGCTCTAACAGTGTAGATCCACCAGATATTCATGCAGTCTATCCAACCGAATACCGTGTCGAATATTTCTCACCACCTTATCTATTTAAACCAAGACCTCGTATATCACATGTACCTCGAGTTGTGGAGTATGGTCAACACTTTGATATCCTCTTCCACTTTGAAGGGTCTGGCAGTGTGGATCCTAAAAAGCTGAGAGTAGCTGTCATGAGACCTGGCTTCAGCACTCACTCTATGCATATGTCTCAGCGCTATGTCTATCTCGTTCATGAGTTTAAAGGACAGTCTATCAAAATCACAGCTCCTCCTAACCCAAATATCTTTCCTCCTGGCGCTGGTTACTTGGTTGTTGTATATGACGGTGTGCCCAGTAAAGGAGTAGAGATCTTTATAGAAAAATCCAAAAACGATCTTCAAATATAGAAAGGGTCACGTGTATAATTTAAACATAGGCGCAATAAAAAAAAACTGGTTTTTGTACACCTTCCTTTTCTCTTTATTGCGAGGCTATGGAATCTATTAATGGGGGTGCAGGTTCAGAATTCAATCCACTTTTAATTCAGCTTGCATTTCTATGTACAACAGTGGGTTGTTGCATTTCGTTTTTCTCTGTTTGGCTACATTGGAAGAATTATAGAAAACCTGTAAAGATATATAAAGTGTCTATTAAAATAACCAACTAATGACGTCTTTTATTACAGAACCAACAAAGACAGGTTATTCGTATATTATGGATGTAATGATAACAATGATACATGTATCGTATAGATATTAAAATATGTTATTATTATTATAGGGTTCCTATTTATGGTATCAGTACATACATATCACTTGTTTCCTTGAATGTAGCATTCTATGTCGACACTTTTCGAGATATCTATGAAGCCTTTGTGATTTATGCATTTTTCAATCTTTTACTCAACAAACTAGGCGGAGAAAGAGCTCTGATCGTCATGCTTCACTCCCGCCCGCCTTCACAAAACTTCTTTCCGGGCACACTCTACTCACGAGAGATATTCGTGGGTGATCCTTATACCTTTCTTTTTGTCAAGCGTGGTATTCTTCAATTTGTCTATGTGAAGCCGGTCTTGGCGGTAATTACAATGGCTTTGAAGGCAACCAATCACTATGTTGAGGGTGATTTTAGCTTGAAGAGTTCTTACTTTTACATCACATTCATATACAACTTGAGTGTCTCTTTCTGTCTATGGTGTTTGATGGTCTTCTTTTATGCAACTAAAAAGGATTTAACAAGATTTAGGTAAGTTTCTATTTACTAAAGACTTGAACTTATTAATGAGGCATATATAGACCACTTCCCAAGTTCTTGTGTGTCAAGGCTATTATTTTCTTTTCATTCTGGCAAAGTGTCGTTGTGGCATTACTTGTTTTTGCAGGAATCATACCAGAAGGTTTGCTTTTATTAAAGGTGTATACGTTAGCTAATATTCTCTTATTCATAGCTGAGCATATGTCCGTAGCCATTCAAGATTTCCTTGTATGTATCGAAATGGTCCCCTTTGCTATTGCTCATTCTTTCTCGTTTTCGTACGAAGACTACTTTGATAGCAGTGTGCATTCAGCACGTATGCCGATTCGTATTGCCATCAAGGATTCATTGGGACTTAAAGATGTCTATATGGATACTGTCCTCACTTTACGTGGTTCAGGATTTAGTTACAGGTCGTTTGAACCATCTGAAGGTGTGCCACATATGGGTAGCAGTCGTACCTCTCGCATTATGGCTGGCCTGAGATACTCCAATATCACATCAAAAAAGCATTGGATTGAACCTGCACCTACCTCTAAATACATTACCTCTGGGCCGGGCGAGGCTATGCTTGAAGAGGAATCTGAACCCTTGGCATTTGAGGAGCCTGAAGGAGATATGGAGGCTCTTTATGAATCCAGTCGTCGCATGGAGTTTGGTGATTATAACTATCCTGTCATCGACTTTCGTGAACCAATCTGGCGGCAGGTCCGTCAAACATCCTATGGCACTACCAAAATTGATAGCAAGGGCAAACCACAGATAGTGTCAGGACCAAGGGAGGGATGCATTGACGTGATTGTCGAACAAGGCAAAGGAAACTATGTTCTTGTTGAAGATTTAATAAAACAACAACAACAACATCAACAACAACAGCCACAACAGGAGCCAATCCTTGCTCGTCCACCTCCTCCAGCTGCCAGAAACCATACATTAAGTAAAGTTAAAAAAGATGAATCAAGAAATGAACTGACCATCCAGCCATCATTATCTACACCTTCGCATTCTTCTCGATACCCTCAACCACAAGCTTCTCTTTCTACTCCTTTACGACAACAGCCAACTCAAGAATCATACCAGTTTCCTGCACCACAACATTCAGATTCCATTCATAATGATATATGGTCAAATCAGCATAAAGCATCATTTTATACCGAAGAAGAAGATGATCTCTTGACCAATGTCTGGAAATAATCACCTTGTGTGACGACGTTTAAACAACAATAAAAAAAATCCTTGATGCATTATGTGTGTGCGCTCCTTTCTTTAACTATTTTATCACTAAAAATAATAATAATAACAAAATGACAACCTTGGAACGGCATTTACTAGAATGCATGTTTGAGCAATCGTTATTTTCTGATCTCTCATTAGAATTCCTTCATCCTTCATTTCCATTTTCAATTCGTTTCAATGTTCATAAAGCAATTGTCAGCCAGTCACCCTTTTTACGACACTTACTCACAGAAGACAATACCTGTTCTAATCATGTTGAAGACAATGGCAAGACATACTTGACTGTTCACCTCGCCGAGGCATTCTCACAATGTGGCTTTGTTCTTGTCCCTTTTCAACACATCATTCGTCGACACTGGCAAGCAGCAGACAAACAACAAAGCAAGCTACCACTACTTTCAACCCACCTTCGATTCGTACTAGAATGGCTCTACTCTACTCAGAAAACGAGACTATTAGAAAAGATGCAAGATCAGGATACACTTCGCATTCTCTCTGTCGCCGTCTTGTTTAATCTCGTCGATCTCACTCAGGCTTGCATTCAACGATACACTCAACATCAGCTTTCTTTGGACAGTATCATGCGCGATTTGGAAACGATTTGTCAATTACCAAGAGGCCATAAAGCTTATCTGCAATTACGCGACGCTGCTTTATTACTTCTCTTCAGGTACGGACCACAACACCCACGTCGACTGTCAGAGTTACCTTCAGATTATATGGCTGATGTGCTGAGTGCAGATTTGTTGTTTGTCAGGAGCGAATATGAACGGTACTGCCTGCTGAAATCAGTGTTGACGGCGTTCATGCAGTCCATAGGCAAAATCACGTGGACGCCCAAAGGACCTGTGGATCAAGATTCAAAACGACTTTCTGGATTTGTTAAGCCACTGACGGCTGCATCTGTGAGAGAGGTGAAGAGAAGAAGAATCGGGTCGGATGAATTGGAGGGAAAAGTGAAAAAGATAAAGACGAATCGACTTAGTTTTACAGCACTCGTACCATTTGAAAAGCTGACTGCGGATGTCGCATCAGGTGGTGTGATTGATAAAGCTACAGTCCTGTCGTACCTTCTGAAGACAACCATTCACTATAGCAACATGACATTTGAACAATTGACGGCTGTTCGACAGGATGGTATTGTGGATGAAGCTATTGTCTTTCGTGCTCTTTGGCAACGTGAAGCACTTGAACGCGTCTTGTTCCCTTACACCACTGCCGAACTGACTGCTGCTCTAGACGATTATTTTGACTTGCATCCTTCTGATACGCAGCGTAAGAAATTGCTCTTGGGTACACCTAGGTTCAGATTCTGTACGTCCATCATAATTTTACCACCCTCAGAACAAAATGGCTGGGTTACTGACGATGTGTTTGAGGATGAAGGAGGAGAAGAGGAAACAAAGATGTGGAGATCGGATGATGAGGATATAAAAGTATTGAAAAAGACATTTTATTCAGCAACAGAGACAATATTGGGTGTATCATACAGAGTGCAGATAGAAGCACAAACGGCATCACAGAAAAATTGTATCGCTTGTCGATTTGAGTTGCAAAGAGACGTAAAAAAATCCAAAAGCAATGAGTCACAGGAGGAGAAAACGTTGATAGAGGTGCAATCAGATCATTGGAAATCAAAAATTCATTATTGGATACACTGTCTCAACCGGCATGAAGGCATCACGGATACATGTGAGGTTGATCCAGAGGATAGGGTATTACTGGCAGCGACTGAGCAACGAGAAGGGGAACCCAATGTGGGCTATATTGGACAGGTGCTGCTTGAATTTGACAAGAAAGAAGGGGTCACGGTAGATATGACAGTGGCACTCGAGCTCTTTGGCTTTCCACAAGTTTAAACATTCACATAAGAGAGCGCATTTGTTATGAATATACACGACCATTCTTATGATACCAGATCTGTACAGTTTCGTTATAATAAACTAATGATCATCTTTTTTTTTTGTACTTTATCCTTCTTGTTTAAAGGAACTGAATTGAGTTTGCCACACTTTATTTATTTATTTAAAAAGGAGGTTCGTAAATAACAGGGAATTCTACTCCAATTGACCCATTGTTGGGTGCTGCATCCATGTTCAATAACTCACTCATGAATCCATATACTTCTACATTAAAAAATGGTGCTAAAATTGAGCCCTGTTTATACACCTTGTTTATCTTGGGTCCAAAAGCAACAAACATGGCTCTCATGTCTTCAGCCAGGTTATCATATCCATGATGGTCGCCAGCCCCTAACTGTTCAAGTGGTGTCTTGTGGGTAACAAATGTATAACCGATGTCAGGAATAACCACGATGGGTGCGATGCGATCAGAGTGCTTGTAGTGATAGTGATCAGGCATATTTTGACGTAAATAGACATTAAAGTGATGAGTATGGGTATATTTAGATAATTGATGATAGATTTGTTGAATGGTTTCCTTGGTCATATTTGGCTGAAACTCAAGCGTGGATAAAGGTGACTCGTTACGAACGTACTTTAGTAAATTGGCAGGAAGTATATCGTCATAATAGATAAGTTTGTCTTTGGTGGTGGTAGTCATGCCATGATCGCTGACAACGACGATATGAATATGCGAGTCGAGATTTCTCTTGGAAAGCTCATCTGTTAGATATCCAATCGCACTGTCAGCCTCTTGAATATATTTATTCATCTTGGAATTATTGGGCCCGCCTCTGTGCCCTTCTTGATCTACTTGTGGAATATAGATTGATATCATTTGTGGCCTCTGGTCATACTCCATATCCAGCCATCTCAATGTTATATCCATTTTCTCCTTCATTTCCATTGAGCCATTAAAAGGTACAACGTAATCTGGTGTATTGTAATGTGTCTCACTTCCTGGCCACATAATAGAAGCTGTCCTTTGTCGATGCATTCTTGATGTCAACCATATCTAAAGAACCAGGTTAACACGCGGCCGTTATCAGTATCATTACACATTACTGGCTCTCCTTTCCACCACGAATGATTGGATGTGGCTGAATGATCTGTATGTTGAAATAAGCCCATTTCGGGATCATAGAATGAATTGGCCACGATACCGTGTGTCTCTGGATAGAGTCCTGTAACTAATGTCCAGTGATTGGGGAATGTACTTGGCTATAGGAAATGAATATATATGTGTATATCCTTTTTTTTTTCACTTTAAGAGCTTACTGGATAGGACGGATGCATATATTTTGCCATGACGCCATCCTCAGCTGGCATATCTGTTAGTGTATGATTTTGATTTAAGCAGCATCATTTTACCAAGTTTCTTTAGGTTTGGTGTAATATGTCGATCTAGATAATCAGGTCTGAATCCATCAAAGGATATCAGCAAGACTGTTGATGCAAAATAGTCAGATCCATTATGATATAACTTTTCTGCTTCTCGATGCTTTGTATGATCATGTCCTGAAAGAGTCAGTATCATTCTAACGACAAAGTATCCAAACCCAATAGCGAGTCCAAGACAGACATATCGCATAATTGGGTTATCCTATGTATTTATTTAATACTTTTTTTATAGCAATCTTTCTTGTTCTTACAGGTGGTAATTCTTGTTGATCTTCATCAACAATGACTGTCCATTCATCATCAGAAGATGAAGAAGAAGAGTCTTCTTTATCTAATAGTTGAGCTTCTTCTTCTTCTTCTTCTTCTTGTCGTTCATAATCTCGACTTGATCCCGCTGAATGTGAGCGTGTCATTTCATATTCTTCTTGCCTTGTTGCCATTATGAGATTATTGAGGAAAAAAAAGGGAGAGAAAATATATAGTTTCTTTTTTAGTTTATTGGCTGCCCCTCCCTTCTTTTGTGCTCTATTACTCTCCTATTTTCTGTTTATCCTGTTGCCACTCTCGCGCGATACAAGGGTGCACCTTCTCCTTATCAAACTTTTTGTGTAGCTTTTTTATGGTCAGCCATGCAACAAAAAGGGGGAGAGAGAAGGGCAAATTTGAAAAAAAAAAAAAAAAAAAAAAAAAAAAAACAGTGTCTAAAAAGGAGAATCTTTTGCCTTTAAGCTCATACTATTGAATTATCAGCCTACATGCACAGACAACGTACTTTTATGCAATCTGTTACAAGCTTTTGTTTACTGGTTATTTTGAAAGAATGAAGCAAATGTATGACATATTTGCTGCAAAGTAATAGACCATTGCTCTTCGTTTTATGTTTGAGATGCATTCAAAGGAAACACATTACTTTTTAGCGACACGATGCCTAGGAATAAAATGCTTTATGTTTTTAGCAATTACAGTGTCTCTCACAACTATGTAATCCATATGCAAGAAGATAAAGAACAATAGAAAAATAGGTGCATCTGTAACCTCTACTGATAATCATCTTCGTAGTCTCGTTGGATTACGCATGGGCGCATCGTCCATAATAATACAAAACTCTTTTGATAACAGCAGCAATCATCACAATGACAACACAATTGTTCTCTTAAAATTCCCTCAAATCTTACTTTAGTAATAGTTAGTTCTTGATGTTTCGGGTTTAAACAAACGTGAACGAATGGCCCAATATCTAAAAGATGGGGTAATTTGTCTTGAAGCATATCGACAAGATGACTCATCCAATGCAGGATAGGCTGAATAGAGTATAGTTGACTCAGTAGATTCACAGCATGAAAAATATGCACTAGTAGATCTACTTGAACAAGTTGTAGTTGAGCACAATTATACTAATGAAGTTATGCAATGATTCTATGCTATCATAATTGTCTTGTATCGCGTAAACTGTAGCTGAAAGGTTAGTGACTAACAATAGTTAAAACTACACAGTTATATATGCAGTGTATGTAATGTCTACACTATGAAAAGCATGTAAACTATGGGAATTCATCCTTAATAAAGTCATCTTGTTTCTTATCCTATTGAGTCTATATCCTTATGAACAAAACAAAAAGCGTTAATGGTAAACTATCATAAGATATATAGGAAACAGTAATATTCACCACATATTACGGTCTATGACTTAACTAAGTGTATGATAGAATAGTCATACTCCCGAGGCAAGATGCTCTTATTTTCCAGGCTGATATTATTTATGATATCTCTATATATGGATTGCTTGAGAAAAATAGAATTTAAAGAAATTCAAACAAGATGTACAATCGACCAAAGGCAAGAAAAAACCATAGTTGACGTGGGATATCTGCTTACAAACAAGAAAAACATTGATTGGAACGTGTCCATTTTTTATATCCGCAATTATGGTTTGACAAAAGGGTAGAGGCTATCTTGATCTGTTTAGGCTGGAATGATCACTTGTAAATCTCTCTGTCAATATTTTACTATTTTAGTCCAATTCTAGCCTATTTTACAGTACTTTTACGGTCTTTTTCTTTATAAAAGGTAATATGGACCCTCTGATGTGAGTATGGGAAAAAGTTTATTTATTGGTAGGGAAAATTATACCGTTTGGTATCCCTTTTTTAGACAAAACCGTATCAAACATGAGCCTAATTGAACGTCACTTTGTTGTACTGAGCTATTTTCATAGCCAAGGTAACGGTACGTTGTCATGATGATATTCAATCTGTCTTCTTTCAAAGTAGCAATTAAACAACTAGAGGCTCATTAATGAGCATTTCCCTTGTGTCCCAAAAAATGTGGGGTATCTACTGTGGCACCTTCCTTTATGAACCTTTTAAGTAAATTTGTGTAGCATTTCGTCGCTGCATGAAGTTTGTATAAATATCAAGATTCATTCTCTGATTTCCTTTTTGTACTCAATCATGTCATCTATTGAAAAAGCTGAAGTTAAGCATCACGAAACTGTTACAATGCCTGTTGAAAGCAGTTACGCTGAGGAACATCATCTGTCTCAGCATCCTATGCCTCATCCTCAGACTGGTGGCGAAGCCTTGAGGAAACTCAACCCAGCACCTATTGGTTTTGGCGCTTTTGCCCTTTGCTCCTTTGTCCTTGGCCTCTATAATACAGGACTTATCACTAGTTTACCACAAGTCGCGGTTGGTGTCGCGTTTGGCTATGGTGCGATGGGTCAATTCATTTGCGGTATCTGTGAACTCATCATTGGTAATATGTTTGCCGCTACCACCATGCTTACCTATTCTGGATTCTTTATTACTTTTGGTGTAATGATGGTTCCAGGTTCTGGATTTCTATCTGCTGCTATGGAAAGTGGTGGTTTAGCTGCTGTTGAAAAATGTATGGGCCTGGTTCAACTTGGTTACGCCATTGCTGCCTTATTATTTTTACTTGGTGGTCTTCGACAGCCCATTGTCGTGCGCCTTGTTCTCTTACAAGTTTTCTTGGCGTTCTTCTTTGGTGGTGTTGGAGGATTGGCGCAGGTACCAAAGTTAACCGTAGCAAGTGGATGGGTGTCATTTACTCTTGCCTTGACGGCTTGGTACGTCATGTGTGGTCTCTTATACACACCAGATACTACCATGATCAAGATTCCGCTCATTTAAGCTGTATATACCAATCTATCTTTATCAGTTACACATATTTAATAGCCTGGAGCTCTATTCTTATTATAAGGCTTACATTAGCGTCGTTCTTAATAAATAGTATTTATCATTCCCTTCTTTTACACATTTAAGACTTAATGATCTTCTTATTAAGCTAACACATACCTTCATACGCCGACTAACCAAAGAAAAATTTTCAAGAGGGAACATGTCCTATTCAAAAAAGCTATCTGACGAATTTATTATAACAGAACTAGATCACATATAGGTGAAAAGTGATTACTTTATATGTCAACGAGGCGAGGAGAATTTTTTTCTGATTGCGTTATAGATAATCAATGGCTGTAATATACAGGGATAAAGTCCCTTTAAGCTTAGGGCAGAGCGATAGCACGAGAATCTCTGTGAACTAAAGTAGCTAGTGTATGGCGTGCTGTAGTTGGTCAATTAGGCAAAATAAACAACGATTGTAAGTACATCAAATGGTTCTATAGGGAAATCATTAGAGGTGAAGGCAATGGAGTTATTTTTTCATATGAAAAAGTTCATATACACAGAAAGAAATGTAATTAACATAAAATACATTTCATTGACACTTATCTTTCTTCAACTTATTATACTTAATTAACCTTTAATATTGGAATCAAGCATATATAAGTAAATAAACGATCTTGTTGAAGGATTTTGACATAAAGTGTACAGCTCTGTTTAAGCTTGTGTATATAGGTTTTAAAATAAACCACATGATATAAACTATGATGTATGGAATGCCCAGAGTCAAATTTTTGATTAAGGATAGTCAATTTCCCCTTTTTTCTCTTTTTTTTTTCTTTTCTTTTCTTTTCATTATCTTTCGTTACTTTCTAAATTCTTTTATACGTTTTGACCTGATCTTCATTTCTCGTCTTTATTAGCACATAGTAGCTCTGATCTTTAGAGAGTCTGAACATGTCTGAAATGAGTGCTTTATGGGTTCTCAGTAGGCCAGTATTAGGGAGAGGGTTGTCTGCTTCAGCTGGGTGTTGCTTATGTCAACTCCTGGTATACATACTAGTCCAGTACTACCAGAGAGCCTACGCACTCTGGCTTGACGTCTTGTTTTCATTAACAGGGATCATCTGTTCTTCTAGAAAGTCTACAAGCGTCTTGTTGGTCGTTACAGTGGAGTAGTAAGCCTGGCCAGCTCTAGTTCACTGCAGCATATGATTGATTCATTTTTTTAAGCTTTACACGACTTCCTTTTCTTCACTGTTTTTTTATTTATTTATTTTATATTGCTATGGTAATGGGGTGTTACATCGACAAGAGCGGACGGATGGAGTAATGCTTTCGAACTAGTCGCGGACATGTGGGAAGTGCTCGACTGTCTGGGGACTCGGTTAGGACATTAGAGTAGAAACCTGCACTTGAGTAGGAGATCCAAACGGCTAGATATCCGGTCCTGGGTATGACAAAGGCCGGAGCTGTCTGTTGGAGTGGTCTTCTTTAGTTGGGAACTGTTGTGCTCGAGGCAGCAGTGGTCGCGTCGATTCATACGAGCGAGCGGGGTAGGATTACCCAAACGTCAAAAAGAATCAAGTTTACCGTAGGAACTTTTACAAGGTAGGCTTGGTTTGCGCTCGTGGAAAGCATCTTCCTATCGAATCGTCTTGGCATCCCGGCGGGGCGAGGAGAGAACGATATATAGCTAGACGCAGCTGTTTCTGACCAGGGTGAGCGCCTGGAGTTGGTATTGCTTTTGAAAAACGAGGGACCACGCATCCGAGAGAGACTTGCTAAGGGTGAATGGCATAAAAGTCCCCTGTTCGCGGTGAAGTTCGATGGGATAAATCACCGTCCTCGGTGGTGACGAAGGCCTCAGACCGCCTGGGGGCTTCACCTAGATGTCATCTTTGATCCTGAACACGGGCGAGCGATGAGCAACCGCTGTCGAAAAGAGCCCACACCATCGGGGGACTTGTAAGGTGGTAAGCTTGCGCTTCGCGCATACACCACTTGCTTGATGGGGTTCCCTCTATCCATGACGGGGGCAGTGTGGCGTCTCTTGCTTACGGGTGTGTAATATCAGGACTATTACCCGTATTCTCACGAGAATACAAATACTAACATTTGCAAAGATGACGACTCATCACTACCCTTGAATAACAACAAATATCTCAGAATATGGTTTACAGCAAGGTATGATCTTTAAAAATATAGATTGGAATATGCAAACTAAAATTCTTACTTAGGTCGACTTGGAAAACAGATAATGGAACTTTGTGGATACAATTACGAAATAGAAGAGTTGGAAAATGCTGATATCTGCTTCAAGTTGGCTCTGATATCAAAACAACAATATACTCATCACTTTTGGTAATTCGAATAGGTACTCAAATATTAACTATATAAAAACCTATTTACTAATGAAAGTAACATTTACAAACAGTTAATGGAACCGCCGACGACGCTTACCGAAGAAACAATCAATGGATATACAAGAAAGAATTTAGAAATCAGCTAAAATCTGCTTAACGTTAGTGATGCTCTCAAGACAACGACGATTTCTACACTATTCTCGGAAGCTTAAATATCAAATCATCGCAAACAAACATTATACTATGGTCAATACAAGAAACTCTTTGCTAAATTAAACTACATCATGCAAGCTACCTCAAGTCATGTTCAATACGCTCGTACACTAAAAAATTGGTCAACAAATACGCTATACCTGTGATTTACATTCTTTACATTTACGCCTATGCTGCTGATAATAAAAAATAGGCGACCGTCTTATAAGCTTGCTATTAATAGCTCATCCAATTTGTAGTAATTACCATTTTGTTAAAATATAATCACAAATTTACTTTTTTGTCGACTACTATTAGTCATTAATTCAATTTTTCTTAATCCTATAAACTTGAGTGTGGCAATTCTAAAATGTATTAGCATTGACCCATCAGCTTAAAGTCAAGACCTGATGTAATTTTTCTGTTATTGATACAGCAATTGAATCATAGTTCACTTCTTTTAAAACGCACTGTCATTATGTACAGGTGAAAAATAATAGTAGCTCAAGAACAAAAATAAGGCGCTCGCCAAATAAGAAACGACACTTGTCTATTAGGAGCCTTTTAACCAATACCTCACTGCGATAATGTACTGAAATTTCACTCAATGGAGTCGACGTAGACACGCCAAATGAACCATATTCACAAGATGATGTATATAGATTATTTAGAAATGATCCATCATGTCAAAAAGGCATGCAGCAATACAATATAAGCAACTTAGATTAAAAAACATTTTTTTAATATATATCTTAATAATAGAGCTTTATTGTAATTAAAACACTTTAGCCTTGGTATTCGGTAAACATGAAGGCGCTAGCAAAGTATTTTTCAGTTTTTTTTTTTTAATTTTCTGACGAGCCTTTATATACAGTGTTTCATACAAAACTTCTTTTCAGGGGCTAATTTTAGAAGTTAAATGAGTGGGAAGGATGAGGAAAGGAGATACAGGAATAAAAAAATAAAAAAGTTCATACATCTTACGATTGAAAGCAGGAAGCTCAAGAAAACCAAAAGAACGAACTAAGGACAGAAAGAAAAAGAACAGAAGCTTATAGAATCAATGGAGAGCATGAATCAATAAAAAAAAAAAAGATAATGGGGATAAAATGATGAATTTGGGTGACTTCAGAAACGCGAGGAGAGGAAGTTTATAGTAAGAAAAAGGATAGATTGGTTATCTACCTTGGTCTGTTCTCGGATGGCTTCCAAGTCTTCAAAAATTGCCAGCACAGGATAACCGTATTTAACTTCATCATCCTGAACTTACTGGAGGTGATCCTTACCGAAAAGTAAGTACATGCTGCAAGTATGTGTCGCTCCTGGCCCTAGGTGTGAAACTGAATGCACATCGAACAAATACTTGAAGCTCACAAAATCCGACTACAGCCAGAGAGCTCTGGTAAATTTGCTGATGCTCTTGGCAGCTTGAGAGCTACAAGCGATATGGAAATTGTAATAGTCGAATCAAGGGTAATAGTGACTAACATAAATATGATTATTTCCTCCAACTAGTTTCTCTTTTTCTTTTTTCCTAAATAGTAATTTACAGAAAGAGCGTACTGGACATACAATTGAAGACTGTTTGAAGTTGTTGGAATGTAATGTATCTTTTCTGAGAAAAGAAGCTGTTTTAAGTAAATATTCACAACTTTCAAAAAGCTAAAGCTTTTCACTATCAGAACCATGTATGAACCGTAGAAAAAGTTGAAATTTATTGAAAAGCGAACAGAAACACTCCCTTCTTCCTGGAATGATCGCATCTTATTCATTCAATATCTTGAACTTATGCATACAATCTTTGTCAGTAGTCTAAAAATATTTTATCTATTTCATTTTCTCTTTTTTACACGGGGGGGGTCATGAAACAGCTCATGAAAGAAAACTCTCTTTCGTCCGTTCTAATTTTACACAAAGAACAAACAATTAAAGATCTCGAGAGATCTTCACCTCCGCTCGAGCTAGCTTGAACAGCCGTCGTTGCTAAAGACTTTAAGAAGAAAGCCACTACACCTTATCGCTCATCCGCTCTCGGTCGGATCAGATCAACCCCGTCCCAGAGATTTTACATGAAGATCCAGATCTCGCAATGTAAACTGTGTCTCATAAGGCTGCCTCCATTGTTAAACAAGCTCTTGCACCTGGCGCTGTCGTCTTCTTTTTCCCTGAAGGCTTGCTCTTCTCCCGGCAAGCGACTTATCATGCCATTCAGGGCCAACTTAGAGCTTTGAAGGGAGTAGAGTGTCTTAGCATGTATAGCACTAAGCCGTCTCCCGCTCTTATTGTGGAAGTCTTGTTTGGTGGCCTGGCACATGCAAGAAAGGCAATTTATTTTGGCATCAAGGTAAAGGATATAATTTACCAAGCTTCACCTTTGGATGCCACTGCGGCTACCGTCTTAACCCGTGTTCAGTTGGATTTTTCAAGCATGCCCAACTGCGACACACTTATTTCCTATTTAATACAATTCGTCCAATAGTGTGGTAAAGCTTATCAATTACCAAGTACACTACCGATGGTTTATTCGAAGGATCTGTCTCGGTTCTGGTTTACAACACTTGTTCCTATCACGGTATTCACGGTAACAAGCTACCTGTTAAGCCCATCTGCCGTACGTTGTATCTGTTGTGTTGCGAGCTTGTGTCGAACTAAGTAAAGCTCTATATAAATTACGATTGATGACTCACAAAGAATAATTATGAATTACAGTTGTCAACTGATATAAATACTGCTTCATACGAATATCAGTAAAGCTTATCTTTTACTCGCCTTAATCCCCCTAGGTTTATCTTAATTTCTTAAGTTAATCCTAGTGTTTATTCTCCTGCCGCATTTAAGAGTGCTCCTCCCGTATGTTACCATTGTAGACAGGTTGAGTGCCTGCATTCTAGTTGCTTCATTTTCACTAATAAAGGATGCTATCGTTGTGGTAAACGTGATCATACCATGAGAGTATGTAAGTCCCCTTTATCTGAGCCAACAGAAGTCGAATTGCTCAGTGGCTATCTCTCAGCTGGTCAGATTTCAGTTCATTCCCACCTCCAAGTCTTCTCAAGATAAGACAGTTGGCATTAATGAAGATATAGAATTAACCTCCCTACTGAGTACTCCCATCATCATAGGATCCGACGAGCCATTTGATATTACCTTCGATAAGATTACCTTCGCCTTGATAGTACAGTATGCCAAGAGTATCACAGCTTCACAACATACCAATGTACTGTCTTGGGCCCCTCTATTCAATGCCCTTCTCGGCCGTCCTTACACAAGTACTGCCTTCAACGAACTTTCTGTTGGCTACTAGATTACAGCAAGGCATCATCGTCACCTTATCACTGGCTAATTCTTCACCTATGATGTGCTTCTTGGATGTCTTCGTCTTTTGTCGTCCATTGACGGACTTCTGTATCCAAGACTCTCTAGTAGGATGTTACGCGATCTCCATAGACGATATATCCAGTTTACTCCCAACTGTTGGAATCACATAGTCCATCAACGTCAACCTATCGGCAGCATTGATTTCAGTCATTTCAAATAGTCATTTTGGAGCAATTATAAGCCACGTCGATTCCGCCAATAATTACTTCAGCACCGTTTCCCAACGTGGACAGTCCTACCCTTCTCTGAATCCAATTGAAAATGGCTCTGGCAGCTTGATAACCCTCCTAAAGCTCACTATTTGTGATTCCGGCTCCTCCATGGAAAGCTTTATAGCCAAGTTCATCTAAGTCGCTTTACAAAAAGACAGTCTTCTCCCGCGTGCCTCCTTTATGCTCACCCATCGGAAGACCTACAGCGTCTGCTCGTTCCTTGCTCACCTAAATTGAACGTATGGCAATGTCTTCTCTCATAGTATTGCATTAATACTACATATGATAAGTCAAGTATCCAGCGTCTACTCACCGACATCAACGCTTTCCAATAACTCTAAGACAATTGACTAGGTCAAATAGTGGCATGCACTGCCCTCATCGTTTAGCGCCTTCATTGGCGCCGAATCATGGATAACATGTCTTTCTCTGTTTCCTCGGCCACCTCACAGTTTCTCAAGACTTTTGGTCCCTCTCCAAGGTGATTGAGGCTTTGAATTCTTATTTTAAACCATACTTAAGCTTGCTCTACTCGAGACATACCACTCATTGTGACATGTGACTACATCATTAAAGTTTTAACTTTTACAAAAAAAATATATTACTGCACTTTTGTTATTGGCACTGCTTATTGAAAGAGGCTCCTCAATAAAGTTACAGGGAACAAATTCCACTCTAATTTTTGAATTTCGACGAAAAAGGTCTTAAACAGCTCAAAAGCCTAGGGAAATTGAGTTCGTCTAAAGAAAACGTATCCGTCTAAATTTATAAGATCGTCTTGTCTTCAGTAAATTCATTTCAATCTGAAACGAAAATATTGGATAATGTTCCGAATCTTGTCTTTGATCTCAACTACGGGTGCACAAATAGGTACCATGGAAGCCAGGATATATAAACGTTAATTATGATGCACTTTATCAAGCCTCAATGTGCAGTCATTTTAAGCTCATTCTTATCATAAGGTTCTTTGGTTTGAATCATCTGCCACTTAAAGAATCATAATTGCTAAAAAACACATTTTTATAGAGTCGATAGCACTTGTTTAAAGCCTCCTTTCTCTCAATCGTAGATGTTGCACATAATATCACAGATATTTATTACCATTAATATGCCTATTTGAAACCACGCACACGTCTTTCCACTTTGGTAACCCATGTTGCACAGACAATTCAAAGTATTCCCGCGATCGCCCATTTCTCGTTCATATAAAAGGCCAGTGATCTTTCTTCCAATTAAGTAAAAGTCATCTCCCTCACATTCTTTAATCTAAATGAAGTTTATCACTATCGCTTCTTCTGTTGTCTTGGCGCTTGCTCTCGGTACTGAATTGGCTTCTGCCGAATGTGCTAAGCTTTACGGTCAATGTGGTGGCAAAGAATGGAAGGGCCCTACCTGCTGTGAATCTGGTTCTCGCTGTACCGATCTTGGAAACGAATACTACCTTCAATGCCTTCCTTCCAACAACAACAACAACAACAACAACAACAACAACAATAACAATAACAATAACAACGGCCACAAGACAACCACCACTACCAAGCACACCAAAACTCGCAGTCCTCCTACACATACTCCTTCCAAGCCTTCTAAGCCTTCTACTCCTTCTACTTCTGGCAGTGGATACTCTCCCGTCTCTGGTGGTGCCTCCGGTAATGGTAGAAGTACTCGCTACTGGGATTGCTGTAAGGCCTCTTGCAGTTGGCCCGGTAAGGCTGATGTAACTGCTCCTGTTGACACTTGTGCCAAAAACGGTGTCTCTATTGTTGATGACAATACTCAAAGCGGTTGCAATGGTGGCAGTGGCTACATGTGTAACAACAATCAACCTTGGGCTGTCAATGACAATCTCGCTTACGGCTTTGCTGCTGCTGCTATCAACGGTGGTGGTGAATCTCGTTGGTGCTGCTCTTGCTTCGAGCTCACCTTTACTTCTACCTCTATTGCTGGCAAGAAGATGGTTGTCCAAGTTACCAACACCGGTGGTGATCTTGGTGGCGCTGATGGACATTTTGACTTGCAATTACCCGGCGGTGGTGTCGGTATCTTCAACGGTTGTGCTTCTCAATGGGGTGCTCCTAACGATGGATGGGGTCAAAGATACGGTGGTATCTCTGATGCATCTCAATGTTCTCAACTTCCTGCTGCCCTTCAAGCTGGTTGTAAGTTCAGATTTGGCTGGTTCAAGAACGCTGATAACCCATCAGTCAGCTTCAAGGAAGTCACTTGTCCCAAGGAAATCGTCCAAAGAACTGGTTGTCAGAGAAAGTAAATGTATAACTTCATCCCTCTTTTCATGTATCTTTGAAAACACGCTTTCATTCATTCCCATAAACGAAATAAACATTTTTGCTTTTGACATCATCATTACTTTTTTACTCGACTTTAAGTAAAGAGAACGTCGTTTGTAACTTTATGCATTTACTTTAGTGAATTTAATACTACAAGAAAAAGAGAGAGAATGTCTATTAAAACTTGATTGCTTCGAGACTTGAAGCTTTCGCCTCGATATTTCATTAATTTTCTTAGCTGCAGATTTTGTATTCTCTAAGTTTGATATTATATAATAAACTATAGACATAATATTCTATATTTTCAAAATCGTGCCTTGTATAATGCTTGAATTTAGCTTTTTCATACTGGTTTATGTCCTTATAACTCTGTGTACCTTCATTATTTAAGAGTTATTTGTCAAACAATGTATTATGTGACAGTCTTGATTTTTTTTAAGGTTTTTCAACATATTTTCTCAAATATATTGTGTATGTTTTCAAATAATAGAGCTTGAATAATTATCACTTCCTGTGCGGAGATGCAGGGCCCACTTCTTGTCAGACAAGAAGGAGAAACAAGGAGAATGTCTTTTTAGTTCCTCGAAAAAAAAAATCACCTTTACGCTTGTATATCTGTGAGCCATTCTATATGTCTAAATCTATTGAAAAAAATAAAGAAAACAAGTTTAAATGAAATACTTTTCAGGCTGTTCATCTGGAATACAGATAGATTTGACTATTTAAGTATAGTCTAAATATTCATAGATTGCGACCGATAAGACTTGAAAGCAAGTCTAGAGTCCTTTTATTATGCAACCGTCCGAAAATAATTTTGTAACTCATAAAGTAACATTTAAGTTTATTCCATTAGGTTTGTATTTATGAAAAAGCATGAGTTCAGATTCCAAATCTATCTTTTGATACTTTCAAATGTCTTTGATATGCTCGTTGAATAATGGAAGCCCTTACAGACATACATCGACTGTATAGTTTATTTGTAAAACATTTTTTATTCTTCTTGCTCATCTAAAATACATGCTGAATGAACGGAAAGCATATAAAATGCGCATGATATTCCAAGGTAATGATATCTAAACAAATTAGCAAAAAGCAAACATGTATACAGTGGGTACAGAATTGTACAATGGCGTATGAATATTTGGCATCAATATGTCACCATATTTTGACAAATGTTTCGTCAATTGAAGGCGTCATTGAGAAAAAAAGGCAGCAGTGTTTGCGACCGATGAATAGACATGCAAAGCAATTGCTCAGGGCAAAGCATAATTTCTCTTATTTTATACAAAGACAACACAATTCAATCCTAGGTACTATTTTTTCCTTTCACATAGAATGGTACCCAGCACATACCGGCTTGATGCACCATCTTAATGGAAGAGATGGATAGAGTTGTAGTGTTACAAAGAATATTGTTGTCATGATAGTCTGTTACACATTTACAAACTCTGGGAAAGCATGTGTGCATCGTACATTGCCCCTTAGGCGCTTTGATTGTAAATCTATATGAGTATCTGATTTTCAATTGTTTCCCAGAGACTGATGCAGAGCTGAAGTATTAAAGAAGAAATGGAATATGTACATTTACATTCCCACATCAACTGTGATGCAGTATATTTTTCTTTGTCTATGGAAGACGGATTCTTAATCATGACTATGTTTTCGTCACGTGGCATTGTGATAGCGATAGCTCAATTAATTTGTGAATATTACAATGAGTACAGAAAGTGGGATTGTACAAGGCCGCTGCCATCGGCGAATTTTGTTCAGTACGCTTTAGAATTTTCCGTATCCTTTTCTGGTATAGCGCCAAAATGTCACTGTCTGCCAATACGTTTACTAGAATTAAACAGCAAAAAGCGCTTTGTATACATAATAATTTAGAAAGGATTACCTTTAGCAAAAAAGATATAGCTTTGGGTCTCTTTGCCACATATTTTAAATGAGTGTTGTATGAAAGAATCGCCATAGAAACTATTCCATTTTCAAGGACGAACATCTTGAGCAACTGTTACACTAAGTCAGGTTGATCTGCTACCATTAACATATTCATCCCAGAGAATCGTTCTCTTGGCGCTGTGCAACTTTTTATCAGATATTTTTACTTTATTTGGATATCAAAAACCGTGCAGTAAAATATAGTCGGACCACCAAAATAACGGGAGCTGATTCATGTTTAATCCGAGGAAAGATAGACATATCATTCAATTAAACAGGTTTATGAACATCTGAAACATTATATATAAGCCCTGTTAATCCAACCGAGTTGCAAAATCACAATCACCCCTCACATTCTTTAATAAGATGAAGTTCATCACTATTGCTTCCTCAGTTGCTTTAGCCCTTGCTCTCGGTACAGAATTAGCTGCTGCTGAATGTAGCAAGAAATACTATCAATGCGGTGGTAAGAACTGGAAGGGCCCTACATGCTGTGAATCTGGCTCTACCTGTGTTGACTTTCCTGATAACCCATGGTACTCTCAATGTGTTCCTAATGAATACGTATCCAACTACAAGTCTGCTACTACCGTAAAGCACACCACTACCACTGACGCTCCAAAGCACACAACCACTACCGATACTCCTAAACATACAACTACTACTGATACTCCTAAGCACACAACTACCACTGATACTCCTAAGCATACTACCACTACTGAAGAACCCAAGCATACCACTACCACTTCCAAGCCCCAGCCTTCTACTCCTTCTAAGTCTAGTGGCAGTGGATACTCTCCCGTCTCTGGTGGTGCCTCCGGTAATGGTAGAAGTACTCGCTACTGGGATTGCTGTAAGGCCTCTTGCAGTTGGCCCGGTAAGGCTGATGTAACTGCTCCTGTTGACACTTGTGCCAAAAACGGTGTCTCTATTGTTGATGACAATACTCAAAGCGGTTGCAATGGTGGCAGTGGCTACATGTGTAACAACAATCAACCTTGGGCTGTCAATGACAATCTCGCTTACGGCTTTGCTGCTGCTGCTATCAACGGTGGTGGTGAATCTCGTTGGTGCTGCTCTTGCTTCGAGCTCACCTTTACTTCTACCTCTATTGCTGGCAAGAAGATGGTTGTCCAAGTTACCAACACCGGTGGTGATCTTGGTGGCGCTGATGGACATTTTGACTTGCAATTACCCGGCGGTGGTGTCGGTATCTTCAACGGTTGTGCTTCTCAATGGGGTGCTCCTAACGATGGATGGGGTCAAAGATACGGTGGTATCTCTGATGCATCTCAATGTTCTCAACTTCCTGCTGCCCTTCAAGCTGGTTGTAAGTTCAGATTTGGCTGGTTCAAGAACGCTGATAACCCATCAGTCAGCTTCAAGGAAGTCACTTGTCCCAAGGAAATCGTCCAAAGAACTGGTTGTCAGAGAAAGTAAATGTATAACTTCATCCCTCTTTTCATATATCTTTAAAAGCATATTTATCTACCCTAAAATAAATCATACAATGCGGCTGGTAAATTTTGTCCGTTTTGAAAAAATAAATGTCTTGATCCCCTTGGATCCTATGGTTACCAATGTCCAAACATGAGTGTGGTCGCTGTATACTCTGGTGACTAGGTTAGCTTTTTGGTGGCAAACCTCAGTACTGTCCTAAGCACTCTATGCAACAGCTCACTAAGAAACATGCTATCGACTGTCTTAATATGTACCGATGCTTATTTATGTCTGAAACTATGAAAGACCCACTTTCTTTCCCTATGGGTATGCTCCCAACACGCCCTTCAATTCCCTATGATTTTGCCTTCTCCTGGTCACAGCGATGGTCAATAATATGCACAATACTACATGAATTCGACCAGCTACGCCACAGCCAAGTAATTCCATTCAAGCATCCACATGGTCAAAAGCTTCTTTCATGGTTAGATCGGTTCCTTCAGCCCAGTCACTAGCTCCACTCTTTCTTTTCCTTAAGCATTTTTTACTCTTATTCCCCAGGGAGTTTTTTCTAAACATTTACCTCCTAACGGATTGGCCTGATCCGGGCGGATATTTGTTTTTGTTTGATTTTGCGCTCATATGGATCTTTAAATAAAAACAAAAATATATGAGAACTCTCTTTCGCGAACTTATACGTTACACACACTACGAGCAACAATAAAACATTAAAGAACATTGATTATGACTCCAGGCTCTGTTATACCTGATAATAATAGCGACAATAACCTGCCTAATCTTAACAATATTCTGTCACAGGATGAAACTGATTATTTACTTTCTCATTTCGAGACCTATCGCAAATATCTGAGATGTCCTAATTGCGAGAAAAAAGGTATTTTCCGTCGAAACGGTTCTACTAAATCTGAGCTTTCACAACCTATTTTCCGTTGCACTGGTTGTGGCAGTAGCTTCCGAGCCAAAACTACGTTGAACATTGTTAATTCCATGCAAGCATACAAACATCAATGAATCATGAAGTGTCTAGATTTTTCCAAGGCGCTATGTCATCCCAATAGACACAAACCAACAGCAACCAAAATGATTTACAGTCTCCCCTTAACATGATCCAACTATAGAACTGATTTTTTCATTTTTCTGAAATAATATTTTCAAATGTCTGAAGTGCGAATACATTTAAAGTTAATAAAAGACGACTGTGGACGCATTGAAACAACATAATTCCGTCCCGCCCGGGTCAGGTCAAAAAGTACATGGAATTTAAAAACCCTTTTGAGACCAAAGGGGGAAAAGGAAGGAAAGAAGCGAAGGAAAACGAGTAAGAAGGGTACGGAGCAGGGATTAGGTCGATAGATGTTGAGAGGAAAGAAGAGAAGGTGGAAATCAATGGAAGAACTTTTGCCCTAAGTGGAGTGTTGATCAGAACAATGGAAAATTATAAGAGAAGTATAAGTCAATGAGTCTCTATATAACCTCTTTATTAAGATCAAGACGAGAGAGAGAATCCAGTATTACAAACAGCGTCATTTTATACAAAAAAATTCAAGTAATCTGTTTGAATCACTGTAATACTCTGTCATTATGCCTTTTTTTTTTTACATTTCATATCCATTTGTATTTTTGTACATATCCCTCTAAAAATCAATATTGATAAGTGTTTGTAATTTTTTATTGGATAAAATAATACTTCGAGTAAACCCTGTCCTTTATTAAATGTTTTGCTGGGCGACATCATAGGTAATGGACAGAGGTAGTGCACGTAGAATTAGTCCAACTTCTGGTGGATTTCCTTGCGCGTGAAGTGTACACCAAAAGAAATTACGATCGAGAATTTTGTAAGTTCTGAAGTAACTACTGATGTAAGTATAGTACCATAATGTGTTAAAGCTTCTCAACTAGTTTTTATTTCATGGTATATAGGATATTAATCGTAATATCACTTCTTCTCCATCGTCGTTCTTTCCATCTGATCTGATATATGCACCAGTTGGCTATATTTGCAGAGTCAAGATGTGCGAGTTTGAGGATGTTTCTGATATTCCTCTTCCTATCCCTAATTCCCATTTTGCTGCCTTGGTAACTGGCGCCAAGAAAAAATTTGGTGAAAGCCCATTGTTTCCTACAGACCGTCTCATCCATTTATATGCCCCTGCCATTTTAAGTCTAATAACCCTTTCTTAATGAGCGATGACAATGATGATGGTAATGTTGCTTTGCCAGAGAATGTGTACAAAAACTCATGTTTGTTTTACGAAGGCACAACGGTCATACTTTGAAGATGCAAATGAGTCTTGAAAATGATGTATACATGTACCATGTGCAACAACCATTTACCTTATCTACTACGCATGACATTCATCCACGTATAGATTACACTATAGATTATTATCAAGGTAAATATGTAATGATTTTTCAAAGCAAGCCCTTGGCCAAAGTACTTACATGCTGCTTAAAAACATATAGGACCAAATGTTGAATATGCTTCTGAGAACAGAAGATCACGATTGTCAGAGCATCTTGAACCTCTACAAGCCTCATGTTCGCCCCCCAGTGTCTTCTTTTGACCCTATTTGCCACAGTTACTAAATGTATATCTCCAAGCTTTTTCAATAGAGAATGAGAAAACAGGTTTATGGCTAGTCTGTACTCCATTTATGGACTAACGATTTGAGCATAGAATTGAGAGGACAGCAGTTTCGAAAAGACAGTAGAGCTGACTTCAATTGAGTTGAGAACGTTCATGGTGGCTAAAGCTATCTGCAGCATACATATTTTTTTTTTTTCGAGTAATGATGTGACCCTTTGCGGCATTTAATTCTTTTTCTTTTTCTTTATTCTCGACAATGTCAGCCATCACAGAAGAAGATCTTGACAAATATTTCTCACAAACAGAAAAAAAGATCGAAGTTGAACGTGTCCTGTCTTGCTTCAAGCTTGACCCATTTCAGATTCTCGAATTACCTTATGCCAAACCTGATCCAAAAGCTATCAAGATGGCTTACCGCAAAAAGAGTTTAATGATTCATCCTGACAAAGTAGACCATGAACGTGCTCAAGACGCATTCGACTTGCTCAAAAAGGCTGAATCAGAACTTACGGACGAGTCCAGACTTAAGCTCTTGTTGACAGTGATCGAAGAGGCTCGTGTGGAAGTGTTGAGAGAAAATGGACATAAAGTCAAGACAGAGATACAAGTCAAACCGCCTACGTTGACAACTGATGAAGACGGCAATACAAAACTTTCTGCATCACTTGATTCTATCTTGGTCGTGGATGAAAAAGAGTATCCGTATTTACAAACTGAACAAGGAAGGACAAAGGTGAAGGACAAGATAAAGCAGATCTTGTTTGAGATGGAATTACGCAAGAGACGTCAACTGAAAAAGGAAATGGAAGCAGAAGGTGCTGAAAAGAAAAAGGCAGAAGAGGCTGCGTTGGATAGGAAAAGAAAAGCCGAAGATGATAAAAAATGGGAAGAGTCAAGAGATACAAGAGTAAACAGTTGGCGTGACTTTCAGAAAAAGGGAGGTAAAAAGGTGAAGAAGCTTAGAAAGTCAGGATTATAATGAATGTGTACATATACCAAAGCTTTTAATAAATTTATTACAAGATCTTTTCAACCATGCCAATACCCTCCTTTTCCAACAATTCAATGATAGGCTCATTAATCTCATTGGTCATAGGCGCAAGTACACCTGTTTGAGTCAATTTACGATCCAACACAAGTTGTGTTGCAATACCACAAGGGACACCAACCGTTGTAGCCATGGCAGAATAACCACCAACCTTACCGTATTCTAGCAAGGTGGATGTACGTGTTTGATGTGTACCATCCTTGAGCTCGATTTCGAATCTGTGTTGTAAAAAGACTAAATCACGTTCGTTGGGTCCATACTGCATCTTTTCTTCAAGTGTGGCACATAAGGTATCAAGCAAAGAGCCGCGACGGTGAACCTTTGTGTTAGAGAAAAGACCAAGCCAGCGCATACCATCGAGAATTTGTGCTTTATATTCATTGTTGTCTAAGTCGCACTTGGCAATGACGCTTGCTTGTAAAGCTTCATCAGAAGTATCATTCACATTTAATGTTTTAGCAAGTACTTGACTCCAGGTAATATCTTCAGCATTGGCAGATAAATGAGCCTCTTCTTCTTCGCTCAAGAAGCCAAGGATAACAAGAGCTTTGACAAACTGACAGAATCCGTCGTAACGGATCGTTCCACGGATGATAGTTTCGGCTTCGGGAATGTTGTAGCGTTTATCATAGGGAGTGGAATCACGGTTACCATAACCTACAAAGGCAAATCCAGGATATCCAGTGTTTAATTTCTTTGCGGAATCCATAAGAGCGGTACCAGAGACTTCGACAACCTGTTGCAGTACTCAATTAGCATCATGCTATCCGCATCAGTAGCTTTACATACCTTTCCACGCTCCAGATATCTAGCAGTGTTCTTCAAGGCCAACAATACACCACGAGCAGACCATGAGAACTTGTAACCGAAAGGATTATTGGAATCTTCAGGGGCAGGAAGACCACCACAGAAAGAGATAAACTCTTTAAGCTACACAAAACAGGTAAGTTGTCGGTGATTGAAAAGATAATCTATGAAAAATAAATCACCTTTCCTCCTTCTTTATGAACTTCTTCGATTGTCTTGACAGCATAAAGATGGTCGATACCAGGATCAAGACCGATTTCGTTCATGACCGTGATACCAGCTTCCTTGGCACTAAAGATGATAAAAGATACATTAATTCATGACTACATTTGGAACCATTTCCTCTTACGCTTGATCATATTCCATCATTGCAGGAGAGACATAAGAAGTGGTCACGACGTGTTTTTTATGCTTAACAGCAGCCTTGATCACCTTGGCATGATAAATATATGGAATCAAACTAAACTAGCCCATGAGCATCTTTTTAACTCTATATGCGCAACATGACTTACCTAATAGCAACATCATTCTGAGCGACTAAATCCTCGATAGCTTTGTCATCATTAATATCACAAGAGACAGCGATTGTACCGGGAAATTTAGCAGATAAAGCTTGAGCATTCTCAATTCGTCTACTAGCTAAAGTTCCCACGCATCAGTCAACGTGAACACAAACACCCAGTATGTATGTATACCTATCGTAATCTTATTTTCAGGTCTTCTGGCAAGGTATTCAACACAGGGAGCAGCAACGAAACCGGAACCAAGCAAGAGGATTTTCCTGAAATATGGTTATTATTCACTTGTACATCTCATCTGTAAGTTTACTTACTTTTCACTCATTTTATATAAAGAAACAAAGAATAAAAGAAAGAAAGAGAGAGAAATTGACAACCAAAAAAAGGCATCTTTTATGTCTGCGTGTCAAATTCAAATCTGATGGGCATTACTAAATAAAGCACTTTCTATTAGATTTTTTTACACTATTGATTGATTAACAAAATCACCTTTACTGTATTTCTTTTTGTAGTGCGAATAAGAGCAAATCTTTACATCTATCCATATTACTACCTTTTATATATAAATTATATTATTTTACATTATAGAGTGAATCATTCAACTAAGACCCTTACACTACTTTATGACTTACCTGATAAGGACAGGACTGTATTTATGTATTTTACAACCTATTACCCTAGCTGACAGCTGTTCATCAATTGCTACTATCTCGAGCATATTTACCAAAGTGTATTTTGTACACTAGTGCATAAATTTCAGACTTTAACCAAAATAAGTAAATATAAGTATACAACCATACAATACTTTAAGGAAAGAAAAGTGTATATTCTAGCATATAGTAGTATACATTAGACTACAGATCACCATAGAGATTAATGCGTTTTCCTTAACAGCTACTGGATTCAATTGCATCTAAAAGGTATATATGCTTTCTGTAGAATTCAGAGCAAATCAATCAAAAATAAGCTCAAGTTGAGGTTGTAATCCCAAAAAATAAAAGGGTTTGTTTTAGTGACGATGGTCTAGTTCTTTGTTTAGTAAAGGAAATCCTATTTTATAAGCGGGGTTCTCCATTTTTGTTTGTTTGTAAAGGAGCTGTATTCCCACCAAAGTGATAAGCGCACATAGAAAATAAGATAAATAGCATTTAGTTACTTTAATTTCTTTCTCTTTTTTTCTCCCTTACTTCACGATCAATGTACAAATTCATTGCCTTAGTAGCTATCCTTACTGTCTCTTTACAACAAGTCTTGGCTCAATTTTGTATGTACAACGAACCGTAAGTAATGCTATGCTGTGTCGATGTGTTGTCTGTTCACCTGCTATAGCGTTCAAACATGTGTGCAAGAAGCACAAAGTATGTTAAATAGCTGTAGGCATAATCACGAGTGTCAGTGCCGCTCCAGTGTAAATTTATAAAAATAACAAGCGTGCAGGGAACCAAAAAATAACGCTTTTCCTTCATATTTAGCTTTCTCTTTTGCAATGCTACGATGCTTGCCCTGACATCTCAAATTCTAAAGATTCTCTCTTAGCCGATGTACGACGCTTTTGCGCCGATACGCCATAATCATAACCCTTTATCCTACCCACTGCAACAAGTTCTAGAAGTGCTCCTATTGTCAGCAATTTCTTTTACAAGAGATTACTGATAGAGCAGTGATTCGTGTTTATTTCAAGTCAACTAGCCAAATAAATACGTGGAGAAAGTGGGACTATGTAATTTTTATATGTTCTTGTTGTTGGTTTCTGTTTGCAGCTAATGCAACGTCTAAGAATGAGTACTGACTAAAGTATAAAGATCGAGGGAAGAACCTAATTCGCAGTGTAGGTGCATAACAGTTGCTTCTAGAGAAGCGTTCAGTGTTTGACTTGCATATTACATGTCATGGAACGTTTTGCTCCAATAGGCTCCCAACTGATTTGCAGCACACAACCAAAAAGAGAAAAGGATCTCCATGTTACACATCTACGCCGCCGCCATCATAACCATGTTCTCTATCGATGATCAACACAGTATTTTTCTTTCACCTGCTCTACTTGCATTACGGATCATCCAGTCTTTCCTAATCAACAGTTACTTGATTTTAGAAAAAGAAACCAGGGTTAAAGCCTTTAGATTAGAATGACTTCGTACAAAAATGAATAAAGGGATTTAACTGACAGGGACTATCTTTACTGTCAATATAAATGGTATGTCGCTACCTTATATGGTGTGTATTTTAATAACGCTGTGTATGGAATATGCCTCAAAAGCTCAAATTCAAGACGTATCAACAATCAAAAAGGGGCTCACGAAGCTGTTAAAAGGCTCTTTGACAACAGCAACAAGTATGACAAATCAAGTACAGTTGGCGCTAAAAACCAAAACCCTGTACCTTTACCTCCTGCTGAACCCCCTTCTTTTTCTCAGTGGAGGCGAATCATTGAGTTAGTAAAGGATTCTTTTGTTAAGTATGAAAGGAAAACGAGCTGCGCCTACAAAACGAATTACTGAAGAAATCAAAATAAAATACAAACAATCTAATGTGGGAACGGAATTTGTTTCGGTTGACGAGTATTTAACAAGTCAGATCTGTAAAAGTGCAAAACGAAGGAAATGAATAATTTCTCTGTTGCTAGACCAAAGCGAAGAGTACACTGTTCTCAAGTGTGAACCTTGTGGTAGAGTGTGGAATTGCGATCTGAACAGCGCATTAAATATATATGGCTTGACAATGAAAGCCCTCCTCCCCTTCAAAAGACCTTCAAAAGATGAACGGTGCTGTACATAACAGTAGTGCATTCCTTAAAGACTCGGTAAGTATAAGACGAATAATGCATTATATTATATCATCAGTCCTCTAGTTAGTTCATTCCACAATAAAATATATTTATCAAGTTGAATAACTATACTCGAAGAAGATCTGCGTTTCAATTAAGTGGTTCCCCTAACACTTCTTGGGAGCCTTATCATTTTTTCATTCTCCTTTTTATCCGCTCAATTCCATTCTGAAAGATGAATATGCTTTCTATAAACTAGCGTGATGTAGAATTCAGAATAGTTAATCAAAAATAAGCTTACTTTGGATCAATGATTCTCAGCAATAAAAGAGGAAAAAGGAAAGAGATTGGCTTGTTGAAGATGGACAAGGTCTGTTGTTTCTTTAGTAAATCAAAGAATCAAATCAGAAAAGAATAAGGGTACCGGTGTAGTAAAGTCCAATATAAAATATAAACACAAAGACTATTATTTTACGAGCGGATTTCAATTTATCTCTCCTTTTTTGTTTGTTTGTAAGGGAGTTGTATTCCCACCAACGTGTTAAGGGTATAAATAAGGAGACACTGAAAGTAAGATAAATAACATCCGGTAACTTTAATTTCTTTCTCTTTTTTTCTCTCATTTAACAACCAATGTACAAATCTATTGCCTTAATAGCTATCCTTGCTGTCTTTTTGCAACAAGTCTTGGCTCAAGCAACCTGTACAGATCCAGTCAAGTAAGTAATGTTATTCTGTGCTGATGTATTGTGTATTTACTTGCTATAGCTTTAACGCATGTATGGATATTCAGCAAAAAAAGCTTGGTACTTGCGGACCAGTTGATTACGGGTGTCAGTGTGAAGCCAGGGTAAGTTGACAAAAATAAAAGTGTGCTACACGGAACCAAAAATAACTTTTTTCCTTTATATGTAGCGTCTTATTGTGGAATGCTATAATTTATGCCCTCAACGCGAAGCTGAAAAATCCATTGATTCAGCCTCAATGCAAGGCATCTGTGTTGCTGTACCAACATCTTCTTCCGCTAGCTTACCTGCTGCATCAAGTTCTGTAAACGTCCCTGTTGCTAGTAATGCTACCCCTTCTGCAGCTGCTTCTAGTTCATCCTCCGCTAAACCATCTACACCTGCCACTACTACTACTTCATCTGCTTCTCACGCTCAACCATTAGCTGTCTTTATGATCATCTGCATGGCTATTGGCTTTTATCAATTGTAAAATCACACTCACTCTCACAAAAGGGAATGCATATATAACACACATAAACAATTTAATTAATACTTGAATAAACAAAGTTTCCCTTTTTCCCTGCATGTTCAATACAAGGAGCTTATTGGCTGTAGTTCTGTACAGACGAGAGTTGAAGGACTTGTATAAATTGGCCCCCGATTTCGGAGGAACTCGAATGTCTGCATTCAGCTGTCAGATTCAGCTTTTTGGGCACACACACACACGTGCATATATGCATATACGCAGGGGCAATTGCTTGGCTCATTCTTGATCTTTTTAATAAGTTATATTGACTTTTAAACACTGAAAAATATCGCAATAAACTATTTATTTAATGCAGTTTATTGATCTTCTCCTTCCTCACAGCAACGGGACCTCCGCAAGCATACCTTCTAAAATTTCAATAATCTTCTTGACTTTCTTGCCTCTGGATTGCTTTGTACAGTCTTTCCAGTATTCAATATCATGAAGCTCACCTTTTTATTTGAGGATGGAAACGATTCAATATGCGATGAAAATGGAGAGGATGCTATGGACATAGTGATTGACGAGCACGAAGAGATGGAGGTCGAGGAGATTATCAGCTCTGATGCATACCAAGCCAAGCGTGCTGTTGTCGATCAGGCTGTGCCTGATGCTGTAGATGACCAGTCCGCTAAAGAAGCACCATCCAAGATTCGTCATTTATTGCCTTCATCCAGCGTTGTCTTCAGCAAAGTTAATTGGTTTCAGGTGCATTGAACATCAAATACTGAATGATCAAAGACAGAGATCTATTTTACGTGTTACTTGTTTAACAGATGCATCTTGAGTGTCGAAGTCACTTCTTCAATAATTTTGGACATGTCTCCGTGGTTATGATAAAAATCTTCCTCAATGAAACCAGAAGATGATTCCATCATGACGATTTTTTTTTTGTCTACACGTCCAATGCCATCAACACATACGTTCGTGATATCATTGTGCCACACCCCAGGAATGCACTGACTGTGATGATGGTCTTGAGCATGGCCTTCACACCTATTTAACATGTATGTATGAGCTTCATTTTTTTATAATCACATGCATAATATTACCAAGGGAAAACGACCCGAAGCATGGTCCTAAGTACGATAATCACGTAATAAATCTGATACGTTTGTGCCATTAACTAGTCACTACAAAAAAAAAAAAAATATCAATACGCGCACGAAGAAATTCAGGAGAAGGAATTAATAACCTTGATTATTATATAGCATCAAGCCAAGAAATGCTGTCGTTGCTGTACTTTAATTTTATGTTACCCGTTTGATCAATAAAGAACCAAGACCCTTAAGTGTATTTTACATTAAAGGATATCTCGTTGGACAGCCTTATATGTACAGAATAGGAAGCGTTATCTCTATTTTCTGATGCATGTAGTGTTGGTCTAAAATAAGACGAGATCTTTAGATGCAACCCATGATACAGTAAACCCACACATCTAATACTATTATATAAAAATTCTATACTCTCCATATTAATATCAAAGGCCAATATCATACCAGAAAGGTAGAGGGCAAAGATAGCCAACAATACAACTATCCCAACTATGGATCTTGTAGCAAGTTGGAAAGAGGAAAGCATCCATGTTTGCATTTAACTAGCCGGGATACATCTGTTACTATGGAGATTGACGTCAATGCAAAAAAAAAGAGAGACAGAGGAATATGAAAGCTTAGTCCTATTTGTTTTCCTATCAGATTTCTGTATGTGAGTTCTCAACATAAAAACTATATTGGATTTTTGGGGTTTTGCTATTTGCACAGCATTTTCACAATTAGTGACGTAAGTAATTCAATTTGCACTAGACAAACCACACACACAACACTGAAGTATAAGAGAGGTATGTATTGATGAGCCTGTAATAATTTCTTTACTATGTTGAGAGAGGATTCGTTGTTCACTTTATAAGATAACAGGATTATTGCATGAATTTATCACGGCCAATAAGAATTGGGTATGGCGCGTGTATAAGAATAACGCATTTTATGGTCACTTTTGCTTTTCTTTGCCTTCAAGTAGCATTTTACGACAAGATGGAGTTCTTATAAGGTAAATACGATAGATATACTGTTTGCTGTGTAAATTGAATTGCTTACGTCACTAATTGGGAAAATGATGTGCAGATGTACAGTGCAAATAGCAAAACCCTAAATTTGCATATTCCATTTAGAAAGCTTATTGAAAAGTTCGATTGCTTGGGTAAGTGTAGTCCTCAGCAACGATACAGCAATATTCTCACAAAGTATATCAGCAGTACTCAATATTATGAACGCATTAAAATGGAATACAAGATCTGGGCTGGATCTACCAACTATCAACGATTTTGGAACGAACGAACTGAATTGGATATTTTATTGCGAATAGGTATACAATACACAAAGTTTATTGGCTCTGCTCCTGATCAACGGTTGCAAAGTCTGAGTGCTAAGGCTAGTGTCATTGCTCCAGCGACAGTCAACAGTGCTGATGATCAAGAAACAACCTGTACTACTGATACTTAAGAAACAACCTATGCTGCTGATACTCAAAAAATAACCAGTGTTGATACCCACAACAATGATGATACAAGCTTTCAGTTTGACTAGACCTCCAGCATCACTAGCAGCACTGACACTAATAATGATGCACACGATATTAGTGATAATCCCTGATTCTTCCGCGGCAGCAACATAACTCGCATGTTCAAGGATTATCAGCCAATTGTCCATGGTCTGATAAACAAACACACAGCACTTCCGCTTGAACCATATATCAACGAATTGGCAGCTTTGACGCACATTTTGGTTTTAAACAAGCATCAACGCAGCTCCATTGCCAAGAAGGTCTTTTCAGTTGAATTACTAGATGAAATAACAGCATCGTTATCCTCGGAATCAATGAACTACAATCTCGATTTCAGTGATCAACATTATATGACCATCACTAGTCTTAGTATGTCCAGTACAACAAGAGAACAAGCCATTCTTGAACCCACGGTCATGTCTGCCGATATGAATTATGGTTCAAGACGTCTTATTCGTGGGATCACCAATTTGTATGTTAAATTTATGTCTTCGGTGATTATGTTCATGTTGATTTCTTAATTTTTTTTTTTTTTTTTT